ATGGGGAGCCAAGAAGTTACAATGAGTTTCCCAAGCACATGATAGTTTGCAGGTGTTGCTGTTGATGTTGGTGGCCATTGGTCAGCACGGAGCCCCTGCAATGGGAATGGTTGATGTGGTTTGCCGAGAATGACTTCCACCACCTTTGTGCCCCCAAAAGACGTCCAAACACCTCAAAATCCAATGGTGGATCATCATTTTCCCATGCTCTTTCCACCAAGAATGCCGTAAAAAGTAAGTATGTAAAATTGTTGGGTTTGGCCCTAATAGTTCCCCACTTCAGGAGAAAGAACATGTTGAACAGACACCTTGGGAATCCGCTACTTCCATCTCCAAGGTTGAGAAGTATTTGTTTCATCACCGGACCGCATTCACCAGGAGGAGCGGGCGTTTGGGGGAAGGTGTGAAGTCCCGTAATTTCTGCTGGCAGCAATGGGAAATCAAAGGACATCAAAATGTGCATGTGTTTAAAGGTCAACAAATCTGTATATATATCCTTGAGTTCTAGCGCCGTGTTTGCAATATGGTCGCCTTCTGGAGTTATTCCTGCCGGGTTCATGGTCTGTGATGTTGGACCATGCTGGTGGAGGATGGCGTTTCCCAACAATGTCAGGAAATTCACCATCCCCAGCATCTTCCCCCTTAATTTCAATTACCACCCAAGAAGGGCCGCAAGAGGAAGAGATTCAGCACGAAACCAGGGTCGAGATGGGGGAGTATTTCATAAGGAGTAAAACTGTCAGAATGGTGAGCGCTGCAAGTTCCAAAGCTTGAACATGTATCTTAAAACATTGGTATACGCTGAGAAAACAATGACGACATAGTGAAGATGATGAGACACCCATTGAGGTGATCTTATTGGTCCATGTTTCCTCAAGACTGTGGCTGTAAGTTGAGCGATTCATAGCGGTTCCATCTTGTTAGGCGCACAGCGCACATTCCCACCGTTAATGCTAGCTCAATGACCGAGGGCTTCTATAATCATCCATAATCCCCATCCCCCCAATATTAAACGCACATTTTTTTTGTCCCCAAGATGGGTAAATCCCTTACTACACGGTGGTAGGAAGATGGGATTCATATGGTAAACCTTGGCGCCATCCCCAAGCATATTTCCTTGCTATGCTTAGGTTAACCACACTTCTGAGACCTTCTTGGTAATTTCACGATATTTGACGTAGGTATGGAAAATACCATTCTTTTATATAATAGTTTTGATGGGTAATTCAAAAATCATCATAAATCATCTGTAAAAAGGCTATTTACCACACTGCCATAGTTGTGCTTGGTTCCCTTGCCATCATTTTCAATCTCCTCCTGGCTATAGCCATAGGAGGCCGGAGTTTAGGATTGCGGGCCAGACCGGCGGACGAGGCCACAGAAGTGGAAGATGTGGCTTGTAACCTGGGGATTTTATAGGCTTTAATGTCTGTATATATTATCACGTCATAAATATGTTCTATAATTATCTTTATATATTTATGATCATTATTATCGTTTTTATCCGTTTTAGTACTTTTTATTTATGTGTTGCAAGGCTTCTCTACATGATTTTCAATGGGGCCTGTATAAACAGGTATGGGTTTGTGGCAATAATGGCCAAAAAGACGTGTGGCAATCCATTTTGCCACACATTTTGCCACAAAGAAAATCGTTGAACGATTCGTTCACGTTGAGAATTCGTTGGGAATTCGTTGGCTTGGACCCCAACGAAATTTCAACAAAATTCCAACGATTTGTTTTGTGGCAAAATGTTGTGGCAAAACGTTTTGCCACAAACCAACATTTCGTTAAAATGTTTGTGTTTTTCGATTTCTGGGGTGTGGCAAAATGTTTTGTCACAACATTTTTGCACCAAAAAAAACCGTGGAATTTCGTGAAAATTTCGTTGGGAAAGCGCCCAAACCCACGAAATCCTGACGAAACAAAATCGCCAAAATCCAGTTATACAAGGACTCGATTGCAAATGGTCAAATATCCGGGTAGAGCTACATTACAATATATATATATATACATATTTACGTATGCATATACGTGTATTATAATATATATATATATATATATCTTTGTTTGTGATACATTAGTGGTAAGAATTGGTTTTCAATGGGATTTTCATGAGGTGCAACCAAAACTGGAGACTTCACCATCAGACATGGGATTTCCTCCAGCAATCCAGAAATCATACAATAGAAGCCTATGGAAACCCATGGGCTTCCCGTCCGGGAAATGATCCACTTTCATCGTGGATCTTCCATATCCAAGTTAGTTTGCTGGAGGCTCGTTGGTAGTAGGGATCTAGGAGGGCTAGAGTGGGACACCCAGTGTACTACAACAGTCCCAGGCACCAACCACGACTGGAGGCTATTGGAAATCGGGCATGTTCAATTCATATACCGGAATTTGAGATGGTTTTATGTATTTCTTGGGTTGGCCTCATTACAATGTGCCCCCCCTCGAAGTATATTCGTTTGCTTGTTTTCACCCATCTAATTAAAGGCACGATGTATCTACCATAAACCACAAATTCTGCCCAATTGTGAGCCAAATTGAAAATCTATATACGGGAAGGATGATCCGTTTTGGTTTTGTTTCTAACTAGTTGTAGTTGTCAACATGAGTCTTTTATCAGGATGCCTCCGAGATTCCGATGGTCTTGCGTAGGATCATCAATTAAACAAGGTAATGTCTCTTTATTTTGGAACTGTTTGAGACAACCTCAATAGGGATGAAAGTAAACGTTGGAGACATTGCTGAAAACGACGATTCTAAAACTGAGGTTTCAGCGTGTTTTGGAGTCCAGATCTGTACAGACTTAGCCCACAAAACGAAATATCAGATCTTTACAAGACAGATCTTTCCAGATGTTTTTGGGGTCTAGATCTTTACTAAAACTTCGTCCAGGTCCAGTCACACGACATAAGTGTACAGTGTAGCATGGATCCCCATGGCCGGCCTTCACCCCATGATCACCATCAGTTGGCAAATGCAGTGTTTGAGGACAGCTGAATTTGTGTTTTATCATGTTTAAGTATGATTTATGGTATTTATGATGGTATTTATGATGGTATTTATGATGGTGCCAAACGCCTTGATCGAATGAAGTTGAGAAGTCAAACTTCCGACTTATGGACAGATGCAGCAACAGTGGTGAGAGCAGTCAGAGAAGAGAAAGAGTCAGAAGAAAAAGAGTCAGAACAAATTTAAACAGATATACAGATAGACAGACAGATAGATAGACAGAAAGACAGACAGACAGACCGACAAACAAACAAACAAACAGATAGATAGATAGATAGATAGCTAGATAAATAGTTAGATTGAGAGATAGAGAGATAGATAGATGGATAGATGGATGGATGGACAGATAGATAGATAGATAGATCGATAGATAGATCGATAGATAGATTGATAGATAAACACAAATAAATACATAGATAGTTAGCCAGATAGCCAGATAGTCAGATAGTCACATAGACAGATAGGTAGATAGATAGATCTGTAGGTAGATAGATAGATAGATAGATGGATAGATAGATAGATCGATAGATAGATATATATATATATATATAGATAGATAGATAGATCGATCGATCGATAGATAGATAGGTAGGTAGGTAGGTAGGTAGGTAGATAGATAGATGATTTGATAGATCTGTAGATACGTAGATAGATAGATAGATAGATAATGAGAGAGAGAGAGAAAGAGACAGATAGATAGAGACACGGAGAGAATGAAACAAAGAAAAAAGGTAGAGAGATTCAGAGCCTCAACCACAGAACATCACAGAACCATCAGTTCGCTCTGCCATCGATCACAACACCTCAGCTCTCCAATTCAGTTTCCTATCCGGACTCGCCATGTTGGATTGCCAGTAAATCCCAGGAAACCTATTCTGGCTGGTGGTTTGGAACATTTTTTATGTTTCCATAATGTATGCGATAATCATCCCAACTGACAAATATTTTTCAGAGGGGTGGAAACCACCAACCAGTATTAAATCACTAAGTCCCTATATATGTTACAACCACGGGACCACGAGTCCTTCCGATCATTCCCTTAATGTTCAAGGACTTGCCGGTGGACGATCTCGATTTGGAGGGCGATTTGGCCGATGACTGGGGCATGGAGGATGAGGATGAGGACGCCATGGAGAAAACCATGGAGAAACCCATGAAAACTATCAACATGTTCTCCAGTGAATGATTGATTGTGATAATGAATGATAATTGTGGATGTTCATAGGTTTCGATATGTTAAGTTATGAGATAGGTAATCAGGGATGCAACGATTGAACCAGCAAAACCTGAGAAACACACGGAAAAACGCATGATGCAATTCCATGTGGTAGTACCTATATAATGAAACATGATTCCAAGTAAATTACAAAGACCTCACTGCAACGTCCCTGGAATGAGTGTTCCTACCAGTAGGGGGTAAGTATCCAAAAGTGACATTTTTCAGGTTTGTGAGTTAGCATGATTTATCCAGATGATTTTGGCATCTTATTAGTCAGGATTTGAATGATTTCCCAGAAAGTTGCTTGATTCGCGCTTCTCGTTGGAAGGTTCGGTGCCTGAGTTGAAACAACAGGTGGATTGCCTGGCAGAAACCATACCTACCTTGACTCATTCCAGCTAAGTTTCCTTCAAAACAACTATGATATCGATGCTAGATCAACTTGGTACTGCAGGGCGCACTCACGATGATATGTTGGCCAGCGTGCTTTCTTTGTGCCATTAACCGTCCAATCATGCGGACATCTTGAAGGTTCAACTTCATTTAACATCATTTTGTTTTCAATCATGCCAACAACATTCAACTATCATGTGATTTTTTGAGTCCCAGTTTTAGTTGAACTGAAATTGCAACCAGAGACCGCCGAGGGTTAGAAATGCACCACATCATTGGCACCTCCAATTTGCAGACACATCCAAATCTTAGATTTTTGATTTTATACCCAATTATATCCCAGTACTTACCAGAGAGAGATCCCCAAGAAATGGTTGATTTAGTCCCCAATAACCTTTTGCCAATCCGACATTGCTATGTCCCCATCTTTTCGGTTTCCCAGTTGACCTTTTCGCAGCTCAACAGCGTCGCAACGTCGCAGGACGAGAATTTGGTGACGTCCAAGCTGCAGGCTCCGCCAGAAACGGTGCAGCTGCCGGAGAATGTGCCGGAGAACGTGCGGCAGTGACTGAGATGAAACCAGGGGACACGGTGGGAGCCTGTAATCACTGTAATCCCATCCCTGGTTCAGATGAAACACCCCCATTATGGCCATTGTATGGTCCCAAATACGTGCAAATTCCCTACTAGACCATGGTTTCTTGAGGAGTGTTTGTGCTTAGGGGGAAGGGATTAGTCTGCTAAGATTAGTCATACCAATTGTGTAAGTGGCCATTTTTTTAAAACGAAATGATGATGATGGTTATGGTGATGATGATGATGATGATGGTTATGGATGGTTATGGTGCATGGGTTCGAGGCACCACATCAGCAGCTCCCCATTTTTGGGGTTGTCCGAGAATTGTGCTTCTTAAAGATGCGAATGTTTGATCATAATGTTCCTAATTGGCGAACTGGCATACAGTACATTGTGGCACCGCCATTTTGAGACAAGACAACATTTGGATTTATATGCAGTAGTAGTAGTAGTAGTAGTAGTGGTAGCCACTATAATATATATATATATTATATATGCATATTATAATCATATACAACTATATATTATTTACATGTATATAACACGAAGATAATCGTTGGTGTACACATGGGATACCGGATACCCATGGATACCCTATATTTTAATGAATCAAAAACAAAAAGGTTTCCAAGCTCTGCAAAGCCCAGAAGATGCTGCTCTTAAGGAGGCTGACCAACATGAAGGATCAGCTAGATCAGTTTGCCAGTCCCGAATCTTTGAGCAGCTTTGATTCAGTCGGCGGTGGCGGAGGGGATGCGATGAAGTGGGCTTCATGGCGGCATTTGGAGAGCAAAGTGCCAAAATGCACCTCCCTTAGATGATTTTATCGGGAAAAAACATGCCATCCAAATATACGGGGCTCACAGGTTCACATTTGTTGTCTGATCGATCAAATCTGTGGAATTTTCGGCGAAGAAACGTTTCCCGCTTTGAGATGTTTTGAGCAAATCATCCCAAAAAATCCGTCGTTTGGAACACCTTCATCTTCCACAGACAGGTTGAAGTGCCGCTGAACGACACCTTGAGCCTCTTCGTGTGCCAAGTCCCCGGTGCGGCCAATCGCTTTCAGGAAATGATGCGCTGCTGGGATCCGAAGCTGGGAACTGCCCTGCAGGAATTCCCCGGCCCTTTTGAATGGATAGTTTCAATGGAAAATCGGAAAATCATGAGAAAATATGGAAATACAATGAAATATATATGGGACATCCACTGTAAATGGAGGTTGCTAGCTGGGAAAATGATTAGTAAATGAGGAATTGCCCATTGCCATGTTTTATTACGCGCTTATATCTCTGCGGGAATATAGGAACTAGCAAGTTTAACTCCTAGCTTTGGGAACATGGGCCCAACATGGGTGTGCGCATGGGTATATTCTCCAGCCATTTTAATGGAGTATATCTGGGACAATTTTTTACGCACCGATGGAATCGATTGGGTTGTAGACTTGCCAGGCGCTATGCTCTGAAAATGGCACGGAACTCCAAGGAATTGGTTGTTAGGATTGTGAATATGGCATGGCATGGCATGGCCAATAAGAGAGTCTCAGCAGTCATGGTGATCTCGTGGTGATTATACGCAGGAGTTCCAGAAACCCAGGCTTCCCAACCTGCCATCGTGATCATAGAGGGAGATGTGTCAGCGGCTAGTGAACCATAGCTGCCAAAACTGATAGCCGGCACATGCGTCCACATTCATTGTTCCCAACACCGGTTACTATCGGTTACTCATGTTTAATTATCTGCACCCTAGGAATTTCAACCATAAGAGAGAGAGAGAGATATATATATATATATTATACGGATAGCACCTCCCAAAAAAAAACATATAGAATATGTTGGGATAAACCGATGGGCTTCTCATCCCTCATAAAACAGGGATTCCAATGGCTTCGACGCTTCGACCGGTTCCATCCGGCTCAGGCGGCTCGATGGAGGTGACGGAGGAGAACCGGGCCATTTTTGAAGCTGGAGTTGCTGGGACTTGGGATGTCATGTTGTGGCTGAAGTGAACATGATTTGCAGAATCAATGGCATACCCTCTGGTAAACTAACAGTTTGCTATTGAAAATGGCCATTTATAGTGGATTTACCCATCAAAAATGGTGATGTTCCATAGTTATGTTAGTTTACCAGAGGGTAGCTTTACAGAATGGACATGTAAGAGATAGAAAAAACGAGTACCCCAAAAAAACTGATTTGAAGATAATTTTCCCTATTAAAGCAGTATTAAAACTGGGTCGCCTCGTTGTAAATCATATATTATGGATCTACTGTTTATGCGCTCTATGGGTTTGATTGAACGTGCGGAATTCCCCAATTTATGGCATATTGAAATGTTATGGCGATTTCAATCGGGAACATTGCCTTTGATCAGTGGATCATGATGGATCTGGGGGACAACAAATCTTGAGGACTTGACCAAGGGGGATTTTTTTTGTTGGCGGAGTCAGCAGAGAGCAGCAGAGTTCTACAATTCTACACTTGGCCTCAAAATCATCTAGTGCCAGTGAGTCTTTGAGTGAGTCTTTTGGGGTCTTCGATTTGAATCTCTTGAAACTGCAAAGTCCTGAAAAATCACGCCTAACTGTCTAACTTCCAGATTTTTTTACGAACATGGTTTTCCCAATGTTCCAACAAGGGGACCTGCTGGTAACTGGGAGTCTGGCCAAGGATACCATATGGCCGGCTTCTGTCATCATGGCTGCCTGGCAACTCCGGTGATCCAGGAGATTCAATGAGCCAAACCCAAACCTCATCAAACCATTATTTTTCATGGATTTACTGAAGATTTTCTACGTTCCCAATGGGAAATCCACTACTGAGGGAATCTTTTTTTGGGGGGCATTTTTTGGTGGCGTTCCTGAGGCAAATCCAAGTTTTTGATGGGAAAGAAGTGCAGTCACTGACGCACAAGTATATATGTATATATTATAGAGGATAGATATATTTGTTCATTGTCCTTCATGAATTATTTACCTGGTTGGTGGTTTGGAACATGAATTTTATTTTTCCATATGTTGTGAATAATACTCCCATTTGACATACTAGTGACTCACCAAGGCCCGGTGGTTCTGCATCCAGCCTCCCGTGGTCCCTTTGGAAGGCGCATGGCCCTTTGGAGGGCCCTCTCTGCGGGATTTGTGTTGGAGATTTGGTCAGAGTTTGGGAAATGAGAAATGGATATAGGTCGTTATAATTATCTCTTATAACGACCTCAGTTCAACGTCACTATAGAAATTATGGCTATAGTAATAATATACAGGCTTAACCGAATAATTTAGCAAGAACATATGGACGACTTCCACCAAGTTAAGGCCATTACAATTGAGAAACTTGAGAAAATGATGATGAATAACTAGATAGCTACATAAAACCACTGTTTGGAAATCTAAGCATTCTCTTTTTAAATCCCCAAAAGTGGGTTGATAATCCCAATTGACTCATGATTTCTGGCATGGGCTTGAAATCACCAGGATGGTTCTTCAATACTTGCACCCAACCTGAGCCACGCCTGACCAGTTCTTATCACGATTGTGGTGACTTGCGCGTGTCAAAGAGATCAACGCAATAGATAAATTGGCTACAATTACAGCCAAACACACGTTTAAGAAAAAAAACGCACACACACACACGTGTGTTGTGCAAGAATGAGCACCCACCAGATAGGTTTCAGATATTGTGGCGTACTGTCGGTGTACTGTATTGATGATCATCGGTCAATCAATTATCCATGACTCGGATTGTGACGGATGTCCAATCCAAAGACTGCACAGACTGTAAATAGCGATGAATTCCTTCTATGTTTGCATTTGTTCCCACTCTTTGTTTGCTCATCATGTCCACCAGTTTTCCATATGGCCCAATGTGGTCCAATCAATCCGGTCAGTTATTCCATAGGAGTCCCAGTTGAAAGCAGTCAAGGTCCAACCCAGCAAATTTCTCCCATTTTTTTTCCAGGCACCATTTTCTCCCATAGCTTCCCACGCTGACTTCTTATGGTTTCAACTAAATGTGCCAGTTATTTTGTGGTTATCATCATCCCCAACCTGTCCAACATGTACGTCTCAGAATTGGATGAAATATGATGAAATGACATTTTCCAGAACACACCTATGGTTTCCAGGGAAGACCATGGTTTCCTGCTACTTTTCCCTTATATTCTTATATGAACTGGTCAACCAATCCATTGCTTAGAGTATGGTTGGTTAATCGTGTAATATCACACGTTTGAACACGTTAATCCCAACAAAATAGTTCCATGTTAAGCCATCACATTCTCCATCACCACATTGAAAAATCTCCCTGGTAGTAGTCCCCGAATGTCGAACGAAACGTTAATTGTGTGTGTGTGTTTTCCCCTCACATCCTGGAAACACAACAAATTTGGCATCTTAGAAGATTGGGCTTACCCACTGGTAATTTAACATAGCCACATAGCTATTGAAAACTGCCATGTTTCTAGTTGATTTAGCCATCAATGCTATAGCGATTTTTCCATAGCAAACTGTTAGTTTATCAGATAAATCCCAGAAAATCCCATGAAAATGTCAGAAAATCACAAAAAAAACAAACAGAAAATACCAGAACATCTCCATTTGTTGATGGTTCCCAGTGGGTACCAAACCCAGGGCGAAAGGTCCTTGACCTTGGTTGCGGACTTGGCATTGCCGGCATCGTGGCCGCGGGCTTGGGTGCTGAAGTGCTGCTGCAAGACCGTGCCTTGGTGGGGCTGGGGAGGATGGAGCCGGGGAGCTCAAGGAAAATGATGAAAATTTTCGGGATATCATCCAGACTATTTTAGAATTGATCTAGAATATCTAAAATGGAGATGTACTTGGGATATATACAGTATATATATAATATACACATATATATATATAATTATAATTATATATATATAATCATGGGCAACAAAAACTGATCTGTCTCGTGGGCTGCTGATTCTTGAATTTCCATCCCCTGGGATGATTGAGTTTCCGGAGGTTGAAGCTGCGAGGACACTGGCTTTTGTTGTGTTCATTTGTGTCTGGTTGGTGGTTTGGAACATGTTTTTTTCCCCCATATATTGGGAATAATAATCATATACCCTCTGGTAAACTAACATAGCTATGGGAAATCACCATTTTCAATGGGTAAATCCACTATAAATGGCCATTTTCAATAGCTATGTTAAATTACCAGAGGGTAATCCCAACTGACGAAATCATATTTTTCAGAGGGGTAGGTCAACCACCAACCAGTATGACTTGATGAATGCAGATGGGTTTGGGCTTAATTGTCGACGATCTGATGAATCCAAAATCTTATGTTTGGCTTACTTGTTGATGGTTTTATGAAAATAGGCTCATTTGCAACGATGGGTTGGGTCTTCGAATTTGGCCTCTGGGTGTGATGGCGTGTGCCCATACATCCCTCACCCCGTTCTTGAATCCCGGAGATGCAGCTTCCCGGTGATGTCCCACCGCCCAGGGGACCCTGCCTGTTTGCGGGCAACCCTCGCTGCTTGGTAGTGGGATGGGCTGCTTAGTGGGTGTGACTTGACCCCTCAGAAAATGTCGTGATTTTGACATGGTGAAGCTTGGTTGTCAACAAGGGTCCGGCGCAACCTCATGCCTACTCACTATCCAGCACGGTCACTCATGGTCACTCCATAAAATGTATGTATATATATATATATATATATCTATGTGCATGCGTACATATATAATGCCTGATTAAATTACATGTCGGGGCTGTTGTAAATGTTCTGTGGCTATCAATCGCCATCCACTCTCATGACAGGCGCGTGAATCCTGTAATTTTCATATCCAAATGTTGCCCACTTACACCCAATTCCATAGCTGACAAAGACTCCAATCACTGCTGTCGCCAGATCATTACTTAGAAACACAAACCATCCAAAGCACTGGTCTGAATCTGTCAGTATTCGCTGATTGGTGGTATCACTCGTTGTTTATGTTTGTCCTTCCATTCGGTGATGATTGCAGCTCACACACGCATAGACGCACACACAGACATATATATATATATATATTATGCATATATGTATATATATATAATATACAGCGTATATATTTAATTATTGTAATTTTTATACATTTTCGAAACAAGGCAACTTACATTTCCCATAAAACGGTTGGTCTGGGGGGCAGGGGTTGAAACCAGCCAGTTCTTCTCTGTGCTCAGGAAACGGCCGTAAAGTGCGAGGTGGGAAAGAGCATCACCACACTGCGCTGCGACTACCGGGAACTGCCTGGAAAACTCATGGAGAAGGAGATGACCAGATGACTTGACTGTCTTCCGCGATGCTCATGGTGGGTTCTCCCCGCAACCGAACTGCTGGGTTTACCATGAAAAAAACATTGGGATTTTTTAGCTCTATTTTTTTTAAAGTTGGCAAATGGATGTAAATGGTCGATATGGGGGGGTCATATGTCATGCATCTTCCAACTTAGGGGATGATATCACCATTACCCATTTCAGTAACCCTCAACTGCACCCCCAAGTCAGCGTCAACATGGAAAGGCTTCAGGATTTTGTTCCATAAATATTTGAGTTGGCTAGCAATATGTAACATGTATATATATATACATAGTATTGGTCAGACGTTGTTCCGTAGATATTAAGTTTCTATATCCATAAGTCCCTAGTTCCCTAGGAGTGTTTTTGGCCAGTGAAAGCATCAATATTCACCATTGACTTAATCTAAACCATTTTTTGTAGATCAATACCCATATCCCTATCCACTATCCACATATATATATATATAATTCCATTCTATAATGCGATTTAAGTTGAACTGAACACATCAATATCCACCTTTGACCGGGGATGACCATCCTCGACCTGGCGACCAACCATCCGATATCCATGGCGACCGAGCCCGTGCCATGGTGCAGTGAACCACTGTGCCATTGATGTTTGATTGGAAGCATCAAGCCCGATATCTTGGCAATCACTATTTTAGCAGTTCACTATCTATATGATCTATTCATGTGTTGTATTGCAGGTTCTACTCTTTCAAGGCTGCTCCTTTTGGTGTCAGTTGATGCCGCACTACGAGGAGCCCTTGGCAAAATTTGCGCAACCCGATATCTTTCTGGGCTGCGATGTGCTCTTGAGTGAGGTGAAGATTTGGGGGTGTTCCTGGCAGGGTTGGATGGTGCCCCCTAGATTTTTTTTGTGCTGCTTTATTGCACATCGAAGTAAAATTATGATTAATCCATAGTTAAGTACTTATCCATACTTATCCAATGAACTATACTTATCCAATCTTACCCATGGTTCATGTACTTATCCGTAGTTAATCAATAGTTATAAACCAACTAAACCATGGGACACCACCTTTTAAAGGCCAAGGGACGCCCAATGTGGGGCTTTTTTTTGCCTGTCCCCTTGATGCAAAAACTGGTTGGATTCTTGGGTTGTATCAATATTCTCGGGTTTTACATGCTATGTATAATAATAAATTTTTAATGGGAAATTCCACTATAAATGGCCATGTTCAATTGCTATGTTAGTTCACCAGAGGGTAGTAATAATAATAATATAATATATATTTATATGCAATATACATCGATTTATTACATACATGATTATGCCACTATTATGCCTGGATGTATATATACATGTAATGTACACAGAACAAAAACACGGATTCTGATGAACGAAGAGGACTTTGACGTGTTTTTCTGACGATCTTTGGTCGCTAGGAAAATGTCGAAGCATTGACTAAGATCCTCCAGATCTTTCTGCGAAGTCCCACTCAGGTGCCCCATGGACTCACGGGAAGTTGGCTCACGTGAGCCACGATAAGAACCCCAAAGAATGGGTTCAAGGGAAAATCTATAGGAAACCATGCTTTTTCACGTGAAATATGGGGGGGGTCCCGGGGTTCCGGTCGATTTTCCCTACCAATCCAATGACCCAAAGAATTTGATGAGCCTCCATGCTGGGGCGTCGATGAACTCGCTGATGGTTTTATGATGGTTTTTTTTTGTGAGTCACAATCAGTTTTTTGTGAGTCACAATTTATCGCTGTAGATGTTTTTCTTTTTTTAAAAAAATAACACATATATAATCAATCTGATGAACTCGCTGTGTGGGAGGGGATTTTCAGGGATTCCGATGGGTGGTGAATTCTTCAGTGACGACATGTTTTGAACTCATCCAGCAAAATTGGACATCAATCCACCAGAGTCAAAACGGTAAGCTGATTCTTGAACACGCAGCTCACTTCTGAATTTCATAGCAAGACGTTGTAGTATTTATGTTTTGCTCACTTTGAGTAGAGGACAGGCCTTGGTGGTTTCCTTCTACAAACTTCTAGATTCGAGGATTGGTTCCTGGAATGACATTTGTTCGAACTGGAAGATTGAAACAACACATCAATGTGAGCCTAAGAGTTATCCATCTATCTATAGCGATTTTTTTGCAAAAAAAAACGCTTGCTTTTGCGTGCTATTTTTCTTGAGGTCGCATATTTCATGGATCCCAACACTCGGCCTCATCGCAAGATGTTCATGTGTCTTGCGAAGATATGGCTGGGGTGCTGCTGCAGTCTCGATGATCTCAATGTGCTAAGGTGTTGATTCATCTTGATTCCTGGGGTGACCCTCAGATGATTGAGTCGCCACAAGTTATCACCTGTAAATATATATATATACATATTTAGTCGCCACTTGCACTAAGATGTGCTGAGCAAATCTAACCAATGATCCCTGTAGCCTTTCGTTTATTATCATTTATTTTTTGCAGCCATTTTAGTTGGGTAGAGTCCAACTCTAGACTTAAATGTTTAGATTGTTGATTAGTTAGATGGGTTCACCATATGTTCACGTTCACCATATATCCCATAGAAGTTAAAGTTGAACAGGATTAACAACCACCAAACTATGTTGGAAATAAAAAAATGTTGATGGTGTTAAACATTGTTAAAAACCATTTCCCCAGACTTGGATGATGTGAAAATCTGCGGGACACGGAAATCAGGTGAGGATCATGAGTTTGTGTGGATTTTCCCACCAATCCATTGTCACTTCACGCCACTTCCTCACCCCCAGGCAATATTGTGAGAGCATCGGCCTAGAAACCCGGGAGGCCGCGGATGTCATGGGTCGGGAGGTTTTGGCACCACTTTAGGTCACCAAAAATCAAAAAAGCTGGTGATTTAAGTAACACTGATTGCGTTAGAGCATGTTCAAGCTGCAATTGTTGCTGAGTTCACCAGTTAGCCATGAAAATGCTGGTTTTGCCAGTGGCATTGGGATTTAAACGACATAGATGTGGATTTTAGCTGCACACATGTGGTGAGAACAAACGACAACTTAATTTAATTCGACAAACATAGTGATATAAGCGCATTAAAAACATGATTTGACCAACAAAATTCAACTTAATCACTTAATCAACACCAGTTTTTGATCCAACGAACAAAACAGTTTGTTTGACAAAAAATGGTTTTCACCGTCGACATGTGGGCTAACCGCGGTGAAGGCTAGTTTAATACAACATTGTTCGGCCATAAATGGGAAGGTATACAAACCAGACAGGAGATTTAATGTCTGCAGGGGGTCTAGAATTCAAAATAAAAAGGGCGTGTACCCAACAAAAACTGGGGATATGAAATTTTATGACTGACTTGATGATTTCATTTCTATCCTCCCAGGAATTTTCCGACGTTTGTGACCCCTACAAGCCGTATCCCTGATCAGTCTGGCATTGGTTGGGTGCGAAGGTGGCTCCAACCACCATAAAATCCTGATTTTTTTGGGAACAACTTATACAGACCATGCCTGAGACACATGAACAATTGTGAATATCAAATATATATGAATATTACATACACACACATATATATATATGATTATGTATATAATGATTTATATAATAATTATATATATATATATATATATCAGTATATACCAGTAATATATGTGACATTATGTAACTAAATACATTACATCCTCACTGGTATGTAGCGGTTTCAAACTCTTCAAGTTCAGATCGTCGCTGATCAGCGTTTTTTATCGTCCAGGATGAACTCGTGACCTGGGAACCCGAGTGGGACAACTTCTTGGAATATGACCGTGAATGGGTGCCGACCTCAAGGGCCATGCAGTTTGGGAACTGGAAGAGGTGGAAGTCATGGCCCAGAAAAACAGTGAAAGTGACTTATCTTATGTAAACGTAGACATGGTGATTTTCCACGGTTATTTTAAATTTGCGGAGGAGAGTTTAGGACACAGATTCGCTTAGATTTTCCTGATGGAAGTTGCCCTTTGGAAGCATGAGTTGCTCGTTGTTTCTTTTGGCCTGAAACCAAAGAAAACTGACACGCGCGGATGGTTTATATATGATTCGATCATATAGGTTATATCCCATATGCTCCATGTATGGTATATTTACCAACATTTGCCCTAAAAATAACCCAGTTTTGTAGGTAAATATACCAGCACCATGGATATACATGGAGCATATGGGTATAGGTAAATGATGGTAATTCTTCCAGTTGTGTGTCCCATGTCTGGAGCCTCATTTTCCCAATGGCATCCCTCAAGACGTTTTTGGGCACACAGCAAGATAGTTTTGCAGTGCCCAACGGACTGTTGAAATATTGTGTACTGGATATGTATGTGTATGTATATATGTATATAGACTTAGATAGATATATAGACTTAGATAGATGGATAGATATACCCATGCACATATATAATATACACCCATGTAACTCTGATAGCTCATATCTCTCAGGTCATGCGCCTGGTCACCGTGAGAAGACCTGGGTAGTTTCGGCCAAAAAGGTGGAGCCAACGGGGCGACGGGGGTACTATGCCATGTGCGGATGCCAATTTATAAATCGGGTTTGAGCCGCAAATAATGGCATTTCTCAATGGGGATAGTAATGGCATTTTCTGGCTGAATGGGATATTTTTTTTTGGGATGTTCTGAAAGGCTGATATTCATGACCTATTGGTTATATAAAAATACCATCTGGTTATTTAACATAGCCATGGTATAGATGGCCCATAGAAATAGATGATTTTCCCAGCTAGAAACCTCCATTTATTTTGGGGATTTTCCATGGCTATGTTAAATAACCAGATGGTATATGAATGTTTACTGACGTGATTTGAAGTAAACTGCTGGAAACCTCTCTGGCTATTACAATCAGAAAGGATGGTTCCTGCAAACTTTCCCACCCCATTTGTGAGAGGATTGGGCACAGATGATGAATTAACAGCTCAAAAATCGGCATGGAAATAACTGAACGTCCCAGGAAACGTTAGTTTCTGGATTGTGATTGGAATTTGCCAAGTTCGAGGGACGATAGCCGAATGGTTGGCCCTTTCTGCGCAATGAGCAATCGGGCTGTTACTGTACTGCAGAGATGATCGTTGCATCAGCTAGATTTCCCCCAAGTGTTGAGACGGGTGACTGCAGGCTGAAAGGTTTCGAGCTCGGCATTCGTGGTAGTTTTGTTGAATCGTCCATCCATTACTGTAGAAAAAAACAACAGAATATGCACGTCATTGGTTCTTCGGTAAGTGCTTTTGCATCTTACAATGCTGCATATAGGAATTCTTGGAACCACAATAAGATGATTAATTAGAAGAAGCTAAGCCAGCGTATATAGTATGGTTTTGCCCCCTACTTGACACCAAGACACCCCGTGAATAATATTGAATAATTCGGACGCCGATATGATGGAATCTTCTATCTTGGAAGTTTCAGGCCCCAGATGTAACCCACCCGACAATCTGATTGATGGTGGTGACATAGCCTTGCTCTCCGGTAATCAAACATGGCTTGCCGGAAAAATCCCCCCATTGAGTTCGACGATTGTCTCATCCTTAAATCTCTATGATCTCTATGGCTAGTTGAGGGATTTCCCATTAAAAAACGATGATGGATGTATCCCTATAAAATATTCCCGTTTAGCAAATCCCCCCTACTACTTTGGATTTGCTGAATATGTGTCTTTTTCTGCTTTTCCCAATGGTGAATCCACTGCTTGGGGAATCTATAGGTTTTTTTTGTTGTTTGATTTTGTCCTTTAGCAGAGTTACCCATTTATTAAGCGTTATTAGCCATGATTTTCATTGATTTTCCCACCGCCCTCTGGTAAACAAACAGTTTGCTCTGGAAATCACCATTCCTAAAGATAAATAATCCATAACTGGTTCATTTCCATATCTATATCGATTATATCCCATATGCTCCATGGAATATCTACCAACATTGCCCTCAAAATAATGCCATGGCCTGAATGTTGATAGATATTCCGATGGAGCATATATAGGATCATATATATATATATAATGCATGTATTATATCCCATAGGATCCATGTATGCTATATATGGTAACATTTACCATCAATATACCCCCAATGCTAGCATATATACCATACATGGATCCTATGGGTATTGGTATGTTAGTTGACTGGAGGGTTCTCAGGCCCTGAATTTTGGCTCCGTGTTAGTTGCTGTTGGACTTTTCTCGTTCAACGACGGTGGATCTCTCCTCCGAGGCCGATCAATTGAGCGCCCTCCGGGCCGCAGAGGGCAAGCTCCGTCTGGAGGCCTCCGGCCTTGCACCGCAGAGATGGGAAAATCCGCTGGGAAATCATGGATGTGTAGTGTTGTTGTTTTTTGGGGGACGGGTTGTCATCATGAATTAATATGAATTAATTATAGGTGCATTCATATATATGCTTTTTGTTGTATTTTTAAGGTTTACACATATGTTTTGATTATTGATCATGAATTTCCGGACTGTTTCAAGAGATGTTACTAGATTCCTATGGAATTTCAAAGCATTAATTTCAATCATATGATGTTTTCAATGGATTGATTTCAGGCAACATCTACCATCACTGTTAGCACTAAATGTATGGATGTCCATCATTGTTTTGCTTATATAAACTACTTCTGGGAGCACAATGATGGTGAACAATACAGGTTTATGTGGATGATTTCGACCAATCCATGCCGGAATTGGGGCGAAGAAGCGTAGCAACATGGCTTCAATTTCGTACTTCATTTCGTTGCTGGTTTGGTTATAATTTCTATGAGTTTCAGAGTTTCTATACATAGCTTGACTTGAATGTTGATCCCTTTTCACGAATTACCACCCATGTTTATCCATTTTTGTTAAACCTGTTGAAGCCGCCACCAATCATGGTTCTCCAAATGCTGCTTTGCGCTCCAGTGATGAAACGGGCTAAGTATTGAATATTTTTTTTGCCACTTTTGATACTTATGAAGGTGCAAGACCGAAGTGCACATCTCAAGTGGTAAGCCTAGTGCCATCAACATTCGGTTAGTGCCTGGCAGCCAGACAGCCACGTATCCAGACAGACGTGCAGTCCTCGGATTTGTTCACGGTTTACCCTCTGGTAATAGCTGACGTAGCTGTGAAAAATGGACCATTTAGATCCATTTATCATACTGTAGATCGTGCCTTTTAACAATGGTGATTTTCCATAGCTTTCTAGGTTCACTTTTGGGTAAGTCCCATTATATAACTCCCGTTTAAGTTAAAACCTCATTTGTCGATGCAGCTTCCATTAAATTAAACCCCATTAAACCCCTACTATATTACCATGTTTATTTGTTAAATCGCCATGAATACCTATGAAATGCATGTGTTTTCCTGGGCAACATCACTATATCTTTGCACTCCAGGAATTGCAGTTTCAGGACGCCAAGCAGTGCGCTGAAGCCACCTTCAAGCAGCGTTGCTTGAGCGTTGATATGCTGGATTTGGTGCCTGAAAGTGGGTGAACATGACGGACCTACCCATAATTTATAATGTATATTAATATGTTATAATTATATAAGTATGTGTTGCCATTTTGACAGGTAGACAATGGTAAAATGACGTAAAATGATGATAAGCCAGAATTTATTCGGAGGATTTGGGGGTGTTGCACTGATGTGTTTCTGTTTTTGAATGCAACATGCTTTACATCAATGTAATTAATGTACACTTTCAGAGGCCTCTGAAGATCAGAAAAAAATGCGCCAAAAGTGCTGGGGACATTTGGGGACTTTGTGAGTCAACATTCGCAACTTACTATATACACACCCTTTTTCTATACAGAAAAGGTAAGGGTATTGTGTATGGATGTATATGGACGTATATGGGTCAATATGTTCAAGTTCACCAAATGGTGCAAATACTTATCCATTTTGTGGGTCGCTATCCCAATGACATGGCCCAGTTTGGTGGCCTGGCATGAGGTCAGCAATATCTTCAACAGATCCTTCCTCGCAGGGTCGAGGAGGTGAGCGTCAGCGCAAAGACCGGCAAGCGCTGGGCCTTGGTTACGATGAGCAAAAAATGTTGGCAAGCCACTGCCATGAACCTAGCATTTTGGGGATGGTTGATACAATCCATAAACATGGTAACATGGTGATGATTTATTTGGGATGGTTCATTGGTACATATTGGTACCATTTTGATGACCACATGACACTCATTTTTCACATCAAAATTGATGCCCCCTGATGCCCCAGGGTCCCAAGTTACTTACCCTCCGCGAGGCGAAGGCCTTGTGGCACAAGCAGCGGGGACGCCTCAAGCAGGCCGACTTTTTGTGATGCGTTCATCGGCAGGTTGGGAGAATTTTTCAGGTGCTATTGGTGGCTGAACCTATAGCAATTCACATTTGGAAGCGACTAGGAGGCAATAAGATGCAATAAGTACGTGCTCGCCATTAAGAGTGTTGGACTGGAAATAGTGGTGAGTGCGTCACAGTTGTAAACTTCTACCTTCGGGCCGTTGGCATCAGAAGAACTGGTAAAAGAGCAGAAACCTAGGAATGTGTCATGAGTCTCCAAGAGTGTATGGATCGGTTGCAAGCTATTGGCCTTCAAAATCTGCGGACAATTCAAAAGCATTCAAAACAATTCAAAACCAATGGTTAATTTCATGATGTGTTCAACATATTTCCCATATGTTGTGCATAAACTGTTTTGTTCCGGGGCCTTTGGTTTATAATATTGATATATAATCAATGTTGGCCTCTGATTAGTGTGAGGGCCCCCCCCTCAAACAAATTTAGTCTACTGAATAACTCGCATTTTTTTGCCCCCCCCCAACAATTTTGAGGATGGTCAACTTAAGTATAAGGATTTCAATTGAAATTTTACTTTCAATTGATTTTCCTTTTAAACCTCAAAAACAGCTCTTGAAAAGAAAGGAGTTCAATTGAAATCAATTTACTTTCAATTCACGTGAATCTACGTTCACTTGATTTCGGTTTTAAACATCAAAAATATATCTTGCTAAGAAAGGATTTCAATTGAAATCAATTTACTTTCAATTCGTTTGAAACTACTTTCAATTGATGTTCCTTTCAAATTCAAAAAAAAACGCCCAAAAAGTTGATGTGCACAATAGGGTACCGTCCAAACAATTACATTATTGAGGATCTCGGTCACTCATGGGGTACCCCCTTGAATAATTGTCTGGGTGCTGTTTTTTAATAAGGATTTAATAAGGCATCTATTTGTTGGGAATCCATGGGGATCCTTGCGTTTTCAAGGCTTTAACACAGCTATGGTTTTCTAAAGCACATGGACCAGCTTTACCCAAAGAAAGGTGGATAAAAGGTTTGGTGTTTTTTTTTACCCAAAAAGTTGTTGTGCACAATAGAGTACCATCCAAGCAATTATATTATTGAGTATCTGGGCCATTCATGGGGTACCCCCTTGGAAAATTGTTTGGGTGCTGTTTTTAAATAAGGGTTTAATAAGGCATCTATATAATTATTAATTTGGACAACCTTGCATTTTAAGGCTTTGACATGGATATGGTTTTCTAAAGTAAAGGGACCAGCTATATATATATATATATACATATTATTATCTAATTAACTACATGCTTTTTTCAAATGATTTCAACAGGTTCCAACATATTTTCGAAATCGAACGTGGCCAGCCGGAAAATCCCCGAACTAAATGGGCATCTCTCATCTATTATGTGGGCAAATCATCGAAGTCAATGGGCCATGGCTTTCTGGATCAGATGGGGCTGGACTGGGCCAGGAGCTTCTTTTTGCTCAGCTAGCAGCCGCTCAGGACTTGACATGATATTGGATGGTCATCCATGAATGTGTGATTTGTCCAGGTAGCCAGGTTTAATTGTTGGATTATAACCTGAATCTATAGAGGAAGGCTTTCAACATTTAAATTATCCCTTCCCCCTACTAATACACACCCTCAAAAAAACTGCGGCTGAGTGTTGAACTGATTCAATAGTTGGAGGGTTTTCATTCTTGGGACGGGATGACTCTGACCCTGGCCAAATCGCAGGAGCTTCAGGCTTCAGCAGCGCAGTGCTGCGCGGCTTTGGACACCTTCGAGGCGACGGCCGTTGAAGCAGAATGCCTGAGGAAAGCAATCTGGGAAGTTACCAACAAAATGGTGTTGTTTACCAACATGTTGCTGTGACCTACCACGATAATGAGAATCTAACCATCATCACATGGAGATATAGATCAATATGGCTGGGTCAAGTGCTTGTGGGCGATGCTAGATTTCCAGCCAGCCATTGGGAACTGGAGTTGCCATGTCATCATGTCAGTCTGATCCACCTTGATTCGCCTCCAGAGGCCCCTGACAACCAAGAGACCCTGTGTGGTATTGGAGGCGGCAATGGTTGAAGCTGGCAGCATGTGGCAATTGCTCAAAAGAACAAACGCGAACACGTCACGAACCATTTACATGTTGTCTTTTTTGTTCATGAGGGATTGTGATTCTTTGATCACCTTTATTCATGTTGTGTCATTTCAAGATTTCCTGTGACAAGGACGTGTCATTCGGACCATTTGTGCCGAACAAATGGTGGGATCTCAGGAGTTTCTGGGCGCCCGGAGGTGCCATCTGGGAATTCTTCGGCTCAGCGCGACTCTCTGACTATGGGATAGAGCTTGACGTACTTGACGTACTCGGCGTACGTTTTGTATGTTGAGTATTGTTGAGTTATGGGACCAGGTAATCATTCGCAAACTTTCAGGATCATCCAGGTGATTCCAAATTGTACTCCCTGCACGGTGCAAGAGGTGTCATTGGATCGCTATCCCTCGCCGCTTCAGTGGCTCGTGGCTGCGCGGTTCCGCGGCGGAAAACGCCGGTGCGGCCGGGTCGTCCGGGTCATCCTCGAAGGCAGGGTGGATTAGATTCCACGGACTCACTGGACCTTCGGGATGGCGATGGAGAGATTCAACGGATTAATCCCTTCCCCCTAATATTAAATACCCTCTTGGAAACCATGGTGGATGTAGGGAATTTCCACATCATTGGGACCATTTCTGGTGTGTTTAATATTAGGGTGATGGGATTTTTTAACTATTCATATTAATATATGATATCATCCAATGATACGCCCTCTTTTACAGAAGTATAACAGCTAGTACACACTCTCTCAAGCCAACTTTGAGGCTTTACTGCAACTATCTATAAATCGTTAGAATGCACCCGCTTCATCATCCAGGTAACAGGTGAGACTGGATCCAACTCTGGGATGACCAACCCGCCAAGGCGATCAGGTTGACGCTGCCATGGCGGAACTGGTCATTTATGGCAGGGATTCATGTGGCATGTGCAGCTTGTCACAGCTTGTCCTGGCGTCGGGAAAGACGGAGCAGATGGGTTTGAATGTGAAGGTGAACAATATGGTGCCATCGATATCCATGTATATACATATATGTGTGCACACACACAAGATATAATTATATATAATGTATACATATGGATTTATTGTATTTATTTATGTATAATGAATCTTTGCAGAATATAGATGTAGGATGATATTTGATATATATATATATATATATATATATATGTATATGTGTGTGTGTGTGGGGCCTATCTTGTGTGTGTGTTGCATCTGATATTTACATACATACATCAATATATATATATATATACATACATACATGCATGCATACATACATGCATACATACATACATACATACATACATACATATGTTGACTGTAGGCCTGATGCTGGTGCATGTTCGGTTCTGGAATATTTACAAGAGCACCAGCCTGGTTACCATTATGGAACATGTTCGGATGATTTAGCTCCAGTTGTTTTTATTCGAGCATGTGAACATCCAAAATAGAACCAAGAACAGATAAAATGTGCTGATTTTCTAGCATGTTTGATGAGGTAAGCACCAAAACATCCTCCGTGTCCGGCTCCAGTTGCAATCAGTTCGATGGCTGTCTTCTCTTATCCAAAGTTGGGAAAGTCCAATCTTTCGTCATTTTTGTGGATAGAAATGCGAATGAGTCAAGGAGGACTACCCTCCAGTAATCAAACATGGCAATGGAAAAGTCTCGATTTATAGATGTTTATTTTCCCAGGATGGGATTTTTAAAGAAGAACTCGGAGTTTGAACCTGGTCCCGTTCAGAGACCGATCCATATGGATCAAGCTGGCCATTGTGACAGATTGAGTGTGAGCCTTTTCTTTGATGGACTTGTGCATACCTTCATTTGGACTACCATCTTAACGTTTTTTTGTGTGTTCGCAATCATAGTTCAATATATATATATATACACAGTAAATCAGTAATCACTATAGCCTATAGCTATTTCATTAACATGTAACCACACAATCTGCGCATAAAACCGCCGGAATGTGGCACCTCTTAACTGCCATATGATTTGCTGCGGCGCAAGGTACTGCCTTCAAGAAGGAGTGTGAGAAGAACAAGCTCAAGCGCCCTTCTTTGCAACGACTTGACTTCCCCCAAAACTCCGAAAAAAAACATTGAAAACAATGACTTGGAAATTTGAAAATTAATCAATCAACATCAATTACCATTGAGTCACTATGAAACACCACCATTGACCATTCATTGCTAATCGCCATTGATCACCATGTTTTTGGAAAGCCATTGGGGCCTGATCCTTGGATCTTGACCAATCCGTGCCACCAAGGTACAAATACGCCAACATTGAGGATGCGGCAGTTAAGGTAGGGAGCCCTCAGCGAAGATGATTTTCCATGTTCGATTTCTGCATCCATGACAAGTTCAAACGAGCAACCTGGGGTTGGTGGTTTGTTTGGGTTTCTAGCAATTTCAATTATCGGCTGTTTCATCATTTACTCCAATACATAATATAGAATTGGATAGAATTGGGATTTGGGACCTGGGATCATATCCCTCAGCGACTAGGGATTTGCGTTACTGTAAAATCTCCAGTCCGGGAACCGAGGAATGTCGATCAGGTTCTGGGGATAATCCCCATTGACGCGAATATGTTTCAACTGAGGTGAAACCACCAACAAGTAAGATGGATAAATATGTTACTGTTCTATTTTGGGGGGCTGCATGCATACATATATATATATATATTTACTCTTTACATACTCTTTACATACTCTTTACATACTCTTTACATACTCTTTACATACTCTTTACATACTCTTTACATACTCTTTACATACATACATACATACAAACATACATACATACATACATGCATACATACATACATACACACATACATACACACATACATACATACATACATACATACATACATACATACATACATACATACATATTTTTATATGTATATGTATATGTATATTTTTGTATATTGTATATGTGTATATACCAGCAAAAAAACATATGTTTCTGCAATATCCCTGGCTGCAGACGGAGATGTTTCGCAAAGTGAGGGCCTGCAGCTGGTTCAAAGGCACGCCCTGCTGATGGATGCAGGGTAGATCCAGGGGGCCAGCTTCTGGGAAAGCCAGCATGGCCCAAATGGGAAAACCATTTAAATGGATATACTGTATGTATATATACATATATATGGTACTAAAAAGCATTCAAACATATCATGTTGCAAATAGGTTTAACAAACACATTTAATGGTTTCAAATAAATAGAAAATAAAAGGATCCAGAGAGAGAAGATGGTCAATTTCCCAGGCTGCCAGGTTTTCACCATTTTCCCAAACCATGGCGGCCATGGAGCGCAGAATTTGCGCACAAAGCACGCATCTATTCATTGGGATTGCTATGTGTATACTATGTATGTACTATGTATATACTATATATATATACACTTGTAACAACTTCATGGGTGCCCAGAACTGTTTTTTAAATGTAGGTCAGGTAAGGCTTTATCATTAACAGTTTGGTGGTTTCAGCATTTTTCTCCACGTCTCCACATTGATAACTGTGTTTCGGATGTCAACCACCAGAACGGGATAGGTTACATCCCAGCCATCATGGGTACAGATTATTCTCTACTGAATATCTCTATATATATATATATCATATATTATCATATACATACTGCATTCAAGAAAGTGAGAAATCCGTCTTAGTTACAGAGAGAGAGATATATATATATATAAAGTCAATGAACTTCAAATAGTGTCATCCGTCGATCCTGCAGTGGCCACCATTGACGCAGTCTAAGGTGGCCGTTTTGGCCTTCCCTTGGTAGATGTCTATGGCAGCATCCAGGCCATGGCGTTTCTGGAAGGTGAATTATATAAGCACCGCATGATATGCATGGATAAAAATATGTAAAAATTGTATAGTTATGGGATATCATGGGGATGCAATTGGATATACAAGATATACTTGGGTTTTCAAGGATGTGGGATATGATATACTTGAGTTTTTAAAGATGAAACGAACGACTGAGCTAACCAGCTGTGTTTTTCTGATTTATCCAAGAAACATTGGGAATCCAGCAAGAAACCTCAAGATTTTTAAGGTGGTTTATGGATTTTATTGCTCCTATAAATCAACAAACATTTCACTGGGCACCTTGCTGGAACCATCTGAACCAGCTGAACTTCCCATGATATTTTGGAGACCTGGCCAGTCATGTTTACTGAATTGGTGGCCTTGGGGATTATCAATCTGGATGCATTATAGCAATATGATTTTTGAATATTGTTGACCTCTTGTCTTTTGTGGGGGGAGGAGATGGGTAAACATCTCATGGCCCACTAGAAGTTAAAGTCACTGAGCACTGCATATCAGAGGATCAACAAAGCAGAGGGCTTAGTAGACTTCCCTGATGTTTATCATGCTACATGCTGATTTTAGATTCATTTTTATCCTCATAACGTCTCTGCTGGAACTCTTTTCTAATCGCCAAAGTCTGCACATCAATAGGGGGAGCTTGGTTTTCCACGCAGAGAAGTCAGTAAGACTAGCCTTGTGGTTCTTCGGTTTGTCAAGAGATGTCAAGGAACTCACCCTCAATGTTTATGTATGTAGCAAGGTAATTACCATCAAGTAGGCTAACATAGATATTCGCATAGATATTAGATGATATTAGGACAACTCATGGCTTCCCATTCGGACAGTGATCTAGAACTGGTGGCTTTTCCATATCTACATGTTACAGTAGTTAAACAACTATAAGGTAGATGTAATATGATGTAACTAGTATAGCGGTTATTCATGCACAAATATTTGCATATAGAGCAGTGTAACTCATATTACAGTGTGATCATCCCTGGGTTGCAGCCAGGAGCGGCCCAGCATCGCCAGTGTCCTGGAGGCGCAGAAGAAGTTCCCCAAAGACGAGGACGCTAGCGTCAGGTGACATTTTTCGCGTCGTGATGGCGACGGAAATGTTACAAACATGTTGCTACAAATTGATGGCTATGTTTTACTAAACATTTAAAACGGATTAAAACGGTTTGGCAAACTACTAAACATTCAAAATAACTTTAAAATGTGTTTTTTCATTTTCTTGGTGCTGTTATCCTGATTCGGATGTAAGAAACCTGGCCAAAAAAAACTATTTGTTTCTGTATATTTCTATATCTCGGATTGGCTGTAGTTTTTGCTGAGGCCGAGCACAGTGTTTCTAATGGGATTTATACCGTAAAAAAGTGATTTATACATATTTATACTGTAAAAATGGGGACAGGTTATTGAATCTTGATTTGGTTTGTGAAGGCCCTGGGTCTCCGGTCCCGAGCACGGATGGTGAATTTGAGTAGGAGCACTTTGCAATTGCAAGGCTATGGATGTTTCCATGGAGATCCATCACACCTGGGGAACCCATGTTTGATACAGAGAGATCTAGGAGCTTTCAGTACCTAGGTGCCTATGGTTCTGTTGCTGCTCGGGGCGGGAAGATCATGCGGCCCATGCGCAAATTGTTCCTCCTTAAAGCTGTGAAGTGCTACCGTCAGGATGTGGAAAAGATCAGGCGCCGGCCCGGGGTGGGGTGTTGAAGGGCCTTAGCGAAATTGAAATCCAGTTACTGTGTTTATCAACGGCCAACGTAAATCTCTGAGGTTTCTACATGGCAACAGGGTAATGTTCTATATTATATCCCGAGTATGATAGGTATTCACCAGTTATCATGCAAGCTCTAACCATTAAATCATCTAGACTGGAGGGAGGATTCGTCAGATTGCAGTGAAGTAGCCCCACAAGTGGTGCAGATGATGTTTCCCTCTGGCAGTTTGCTACTCCCGCTGCTGTAATTTGGGATGCACAAGCATAAGCCATTCTCAAGTTATGGCTATTTATTGTGTATAGCCCTACTTGCGATGACTTATAACAGCCCCCAAAAGGTCGAAAATTGGGGATGGTTCATTCAGTGCATGATACGGCGATAGACGACCATGTAGGGCAGGCTATGCTAGACCAAATGTCGCATGTGTTTGGTAGGTTTTGTAGGGTACAAATTATACACCTGTATACGCACATTTCCTAATTTATGCAGTCGTTTTCGGTTGCCTTGCAGAATCAGACATGGCTAGCTGGAGTTTTTCCCGTTAGTAGAAGATCGTCCCATTACAACCTCCATTTATAAGGGATGTTCCTATATTTCCCGCTGATTGTCTCATCATTATAGGTGATTTCCACAAAAAAAAACCCTCCACGGCCTGTGGGGGATCTCCTAGCCGTGAGCCGCTGAGGAAGCAGTTCAAAGAGTTGGATGCCAACAAGGACGCACAGGGCCAAGCTATTTCACCTCGATTCTTCATCTAACGAGTTGGGTTGGAATATCCATGGCATTTCCATGTTTCTAGACTTTTCTGGTTGATGTTGAAGCCGGATTTGATGCTTTGATCCATGATTGAAAAACATGTTCCTCAGCCACCAACCCCACTGGACCGTTCGAAGATAAAGGTAGTAGCTAGGAACCCTATGGCCATGTGTTACTGCAAATGGAAGCGATGATTTTGGATATTGTGAATCTGGATATAATCTGAAAAAGGTACCAGTCTGGTTATATGTTGGATTGATTTAACATGATTTAACATGATTTAACATGATTTAACTATAAAAATAAGCTGAACAGTTGCAGGAAACCGTGATTTTGTACCACCCAAATGGACGCTTTTTTTGAGGGGTGGTGTTTTTTATTGGCCACCAGGATGGCACCTTGCAGTTTGCAGAGATGAAAAAGATGCTGTGCCTTCTCGACCAAACTCGAATGGGGCAGCGGTGTGTTCAATGGGGCAATGTGAACCAGGGATTTTTGCGAACGTCCCAGTTCATCAAGAGGGGGTTACTGGGACCGGACCAGTTTTAACAAGCAGTAATCTATCTCTAGTCAACATGTGCGTGTAGTCAGGGTTCGTTTATGAATCTGGGATTGACATGATCATGTAGATCATTAAAAAATGGATAAACAAATTGATGTCAACAAGTGATTAGATCATTAAAACATGGATCATCATCAGTTGGATTGACTGATATCCATGAGAAGTGGATGTTCACGAGGAAAAGTGGATATGAAGCATCACCATGGACGGAGGTCAGCCATGGACAGATCCACCAGGCTTTTTTCTGTCCGGGGATGGTCGTCTCCGCCTAAGGCAGTCCCTGAACTCCAAATTGTCTGAAATCCAAATCCAGCCACTTGGCGCTGGGGATATCCTCATGAAATATCCCGTGTCTCCACAAAGATGGGTACTACACTGAGTACTACACCACCAAGAGAGAGAGTTGGTTTTATATATATATATATCTCTCTCTCTCTCTCATTGTATATCTAATTCTATAAATATATATATATATATATATGTAATATATATACATGTGCGTGCGTGTGTGTGTGTATGTATGTATGTATGTATGTATGTATGCATATACATATATGTATATATGTATACATATCCTGCTGGCTTTCATGAAGACATGAAGGCTGCCCATGCAGATGATGGGAATATATGGGAATACAGCCATTCGGAGTTGGTCCTATAGCTAGCAATTGGACAGATGTTGCCTGATTTTGCCAAATTAAAGTGGCCATTTTGGACGCGTATTTACTCAGAATCTGGGTTATAAGCCATAGTATATATGTATATATTATACTGTACATACATAATTCATATATGTGTATATAAATGTATATGTATTTGCACATGTATGTATCTATATATATATACCTACACATATACAGCTGTGAGATATCCCATAAACAACCGGCTGCATCTCACCCAGTTGGCCATCGCTTGGTCCCAAGATCCTGTGGCGGAGTTGGTAGAGGATGTTTTGAAGGATATTATAGCTATGTATGTATTTATATGTATATTGTATTATATTATATTACAATATATATATATATGTGTGTGTGTGTCCGTGTGCATATATACATATATATTATAGGTATGTCTTCTTTTTGAATGTTACATCATCCCAACCTTCTCCCAAGCCATCTTTGCAGCTCCACTTGGGCCGCTGAGGAAACTCTTTTGCCAGGCCGACGTGAACCAAAACGGCACCGTGGAGCTAGACGAGTTCATCGACTTCGTCATGCACGGACCGCTGGCCCCGGTGATTCGTTACGGTTTAACGGTTGGTTTAGAGATTCCAATCAGCAAAGTTAATCAACATATCCACAAAACATCATAAAACTATAGAATTTACCATGGTATTTTAGGTAGTTTGACGTGCAATTCCCCAGGAATCCTTGGAATGTTGAAGGATGATGTCTTGGAGCAACTAGAGATGGAGCCTTGATGCGTTTTTTGCAAGACCCCAACATCTTCTTGATGAGGTTTGAGAGGGTGCCGTCAGTCTCATTTTCACACCAGTTTTTGAGAAAAATGAAGCCACTAGGATAGACGTCGGTTTGATGCGGTTTTTAAATATGTTTGCTATTAGGAACTTCATCCAAATAGTACTGTAGACTTTCAAAACTCCATATATATATAAGTATGAAAAGTATATATATATATTATCTTACGTGATTGATTGCACAAAGAAAAATACATGGGATCGGCACGTTCTGGTAGCCATCCCCTGCACCAGTTCCCAGAATTTGCCATGGTGACGGCTGGGGTACCTCCATGACTTCGGAAACGATGATCCCGGCGAGGAAAACAGGCTGTGGCCAAAGTGATGCAGGCGCTAGCGGAAGAGTCCATGGGCCGGTTATGATTGGCCATGTTCAGTAAGTTCGTGGCCATGGTTGATGGTGATTAGATGTTAAATTAGATATGATTAGATGAAAACTTCAGTAACTGGCTGAATATGCCAGCTATTTCCAGACATTTTCCCATCTTTTCCATACCATTTTCCAGACATGGTCGACTTGGCTGCCATGTTCCGGGAAAAACTCTGCATCCCGTGGCCTCCATAGCCGAAGTTGGAGCCAAAGTTTTAATATTTATAACTATTTATAACATCTTATAACATCTTATACCTATTCCATACTATTCCTATATTGGTCATGTTATAGGTATAGTCATATTCCTATTGTATACGTATATAACTATTCCGGACTATTCCTATAACATGAATGACTGTAGACTGTAGGTATACCATGATGATATACATATTTGCAGTTGAGTCATATGACATCTGACAGATCCCATCTTTGGAGAAGTTCTTTCGCTGCAAGGAGCCACCCCAACAAACGCCTACAGCCACGGGCGTCCGGGACGAGTGGAAGAAGCAGACCCTGGAGAGATGCAACGCAGCAACCTGTGAGAATTGAGTAGTGTTGAAAAGCTATGTTAATGGATGATAGAGTTATATATATATATATATTAATGTATTAATATGTATCAATATGTATCAATATGTATTAATATGTATGAATATGTATCACTATGTATGAATGTGTGCCAATATGTATTGATATGTATTAATAGTATGTTTTCATAATATGTAATAATAATATGTATTAAACAATATGGATTAATATTATGTATTAATATGTATTGATATTATGTATTAATATGGTGCATTAATATCTTGTATTAATATTATCCGTTAACATTATGATTTAATATGTGTTATACCGTAATATGTATTAATTTGTATTGCTAATTAATATGTATCAATATGTATTAATATGTGCTATGCAAAATACTGAAACTAACATGTGAGATTGATGATTACCCTTTGGTTATTGCACATTTTACTAGTAATAGAGGTAAATCATCAGAAATAAACAACATACGTGCCATTTTCCATAGCTATTTAAGTAAACAGAGGGTATATTATATGTAGTTAACTAATGTCAAATAACATATATTGTATATGAAACTATCCAATGTATTGGGGATTATCAGGATCCATTTATGATGGGAAAGCCTATCAACCTGTAGATAGGGATGACAGAGGGTTTCAACCTTATCAATCCAGGCGCAACGTACCTATGAATGAACACATTTTGTTGTGCCTATATCGCTTCTACTTTTCTATTTGTGACCCTCGTATTTCAATCCTTATTACACAGAGATTTGCAATATTCACCCACAAACTGCATGGAAGGGGCGAATCATGATCACCATGGACCACGGCCTTGGTACATAGGGCATAAAGAATGACGAGCAAGATCGAAGAGGCAAATTTTCTAACATAGCTATGTCAGGCTATTTCAAACCAGCATTTTCTCCAAAACGTGCCATTTTCCCATGGCTATATTGTGCCATGTTCGATCACCGGTGAAACAGGCGCTCAGGCGCTGTACTGTTGTGAACGCGCAGGAGGCACACAATCGCTATCGAGCAAACCATGGAGCAGCCAACCTGGAGTGGAGTGATGAATGCTATTTGAGTGCCAAGAAGCAGGCGAATGCTTGTCAAGAGAAGCTTGACTTAATTTTTTGTTTAATGTTAAATAGTTTTAAATATGGTTTCACTATGTTTCAATGTTTCACTATGTTTCACTATTTTCATGGAATGCTGTGACTATATGTGATTTGTGCAAGTCTGTCATATACGCAGTTTTGCTGGGTACACTCTGCAATTGTTGCCTGGCATTGAGTTTTTTTTAGTAACCATGTCCAGAGTATTTCTTTCAAGGTTCCATTTTCGGACAGCTTTTAATCGCTCTTCAGCTCCCTGCGAAAGAGCCGATCACTTTCATCGTTTCCGGTGTCGATGTTCCATCCGTCTTACCATACCGAGCCCAAGGATACCCAAGGAACCGTTGTCCAACAACGTTTTTTATTAGGATGGCAAATCGCTTATTTCGGACGGAGACCTGGGGCCGGAGACTGCTCACGTCAAATGCAAAGAAGGCATCTTGCTGCAATGCAGTAAGTGGATGTAAGTGGTAAGTAAATTGTTTTTGAACATGTTACAACCGTTTTTACAGCTGGGATCTGGAGTTTTTTTTACATAACCCAGTTACCAAGCACCGTTTCGAACTTCCGACCAGAATTGTCCTGCAAGAGTTATTGGTATTGAGCCAGGTGCTAAATCCGTATTTCCACAAAGTCACAGCATGCCTGCATTCCGAATCAATTAACTACTCATGATCCAGATATTTCGTAAGATCCCGCACAAATTTGCAATGCAGTGGCATTTTATCCCCCGTTAACATTCATGGATCCACCATCTCCCCAGCTGTTCGCCTAGATCTATGTTACAACTTAGGGGCAATAACCTGCATGGCGCCGCTCAGGAAGGGTGCCATGTTCCATGTGGCTCGGCGACGGTAGATCTACCTCCTGGTAAACGTGTACATAACTATGGACAATCACAATTCTTAATGGGTAAATCAACTATAAATGGATACACATGGCCATTTTCAATAGTGACTGGTATATGTTAAATTACCAGAGGGTATATTCAGGTATAATGTGGTTAAGACAATAAACCATCCCCAAGTCATCACCATGTTTATGGGTGGTATGAACCATCAAACATGAGGTGGTTTATGGCACTGTTTTACCCACATTAGATAAGAATAGGTGAACACAAGCCAAGCTATGATAGGGGGCACATTGTGGGTTTGGTGCACGTGGGTCTAAACCAGCAGAACCACTTAGAATATAGAAAGATATAGAAACATAGTTTGAAAACTGCTCATATATGTTGTTTTTTACCCGTTGTTGAATTAATTGACGGAGAAATCGACACCAGAAACCCCTACAATTGTTGCTAAAACAATGGTTTCCTATAGATTTTTGCTATTCCATTGACCTTAGAAATCTTGGGATTTCTATGGATCTACGAGGACAACTGCTCCGGGCCAAGTGGAAGGCATGGACAGACCCTTGGACAAAATGGACGCTCGCGTGACGGAGCTTGGGAAGTCGAAGCTAGCTTTGGCGCTGAAAGGTGGAATCTGTAGACATAAAAATCAATAACACACACACACACATATATATAGAGTGTATATGTATTTATGTGCATGTAATACTATAAAATATAATGGTATTATAATAGTGTGTATATATATATATATATGTGTGTGTGTGTTTGTGTGTGTGCATATCCGTACACATATTTATGGAATTTGATGGACATGGTTAATATAGCTCATAGCTCTATTAAACCATGATTAATCCTTTAAAATCTGAGACTTGCCGTCGCATTCAACATGATTCAACCAGGTCGTGTGTTGATCCGTATGCATACAATCGAAGAGATGGAACACCCATACCAGCCTGGAAACGGGGCAAAATTGCAGCGTCATGATAACTTGATGTTTTGAAACGGGGCAAGATTGGCTCCTATAGTTTATCCGGACATGTCTCGGGAGTGCAGTTCCACTTAGAATCTAGTAATATATTATAAATATATTATAAATATACATATATATATATGCATGGTTATTTATACTTTTTAAGCGGAACTCGTTTTTATAGATGTTATCAGGGATTACATCAGAGCTTACGAAAGTTATCACCATGGTTACACCATGAATCCATACATCACCAGTCCTGCCTCAGCAAGTTTCTGGACCCAGTGCATTTCCGCTTCATCGCTGTTCGGACCATGTCAGTGCGACCGAGCCCGGGAATATATGGTTAATATTAAGGGAAATCATCCCCAAATGGCCTTAATTTAGGTTAGTGAAATATGATAATTTACCCAAATCTGGTCCAATCCTGGTCCTCCTGAAAGCAGGAACATCTATTGGTGCAGTGCTCCTGGCTCTTCTACAGAAGAGATGCTGGAGTTGCATTTAGGGTTCCGGGCTGGTCTGAACTTTGCGAGTTAAAAGGCAACCTCCCAAGATAGAGAAACTAAAGTTGGAACCCTCGAAATGGTTGCGGAAAACATGTTCATGTACCATCCTGGAAATACTTGTCCACCTTTTTTGGGAGGCCCTATGATACATCAAACCATCAAGCCAGGATTTCATGGATAGATGACCCACCGCGTTTATTCATGTTGCAGTGCAAGTCTCGTTTTTTCTTCACATTCATGGTGTTTTTTCCACATCTACTGCATACTGGTTGATGGTTTGGAACATGAATTTTATTTTTCCATATATTGGGAATTTCATCATCCCAACTGACTTTCATATTTTTCAGAGGGGTTGAAACCACCAACTAGTGTTTTTTTTTTCCACATCTATGTTAGTTTCCCGGAGGGAACTGGATCCCCAGCTGCGCTGAGTATGGTCCATGCCTGGTACCAAGAGATCACGAACCCTGGCTACGACTTTGACGCCGCTACCTTCAAGTCGGGCACGGGACATTTCACCCAGGTGGTCTGGAAAGGACGGGGTCACTGAATCAATTCTTTGTGGAATGATACCACGGGCTTTCCATCAATGAAGGTATCCCAATAGCTGGAAAATCCTACTGTCCTACTGTAAATCCTACTGTAAATGGATGATGAACAGGGGTAACCTCCATACTGGTACATGAATCGAAGGATTTCAGAGATGAACCTGCCATTGCCATTTGTGTTGCAGGAAGCAAGCAGGTTGGCATGGCCTTATCTGAAGATGGGCGTTTCTGCGTCGCGAACTACTATCCGGTACTTTGGTTTTGTTGTGAGGTAGAGAGCAACCTAAGGTTTCCTTTTGCAAGTGGCTTGGGGTCTAATCACTATTGTCAAGCTGTTTCCAGGCTGGGATGGTGGGGATTCCATTGGATCTTCTCAGACGGGTCCCTGCCAGCGCTGAGGCTGGAAATGTTATGGGTCACTTCAAGGAGAATGTCTTGAAAGGAGGCACTCCTCTTAGCAAGGCCTGGTCCATGAAATTTTTGCGACGCCGGGTCCGAAGGGTCCTGGTCATACTTTGTCCATGTCTAGTGTGGCTTCTACCACTTGGGAACTCACCAGGTGCCGAAGTGTCAAAGATGGCAACAAAACCTGGTTCGTGGTTTGGAACATTTTTTGCATTCAGGTCGAGGCGCCAAAGCCCAAAGCCAAAGCTGCCCCGGCCCCTGCGGCCGCCAAAGCAGGAGGCGGGGAGCAGAAAGCTGGGATGAACCAACAAAACCTGCGGATACCTGTGGATTCTTGGGGATTTCTAGCCACTGAAGTATGGATTCGGATGGATTTGGAGCTCAACCATATTCATGGGAATTTCAATGGGCATGTGCGAACGTGGGGATTTGAACATGGTTAAATGCGGACGTAGACATGATATAGCCAGTCAAAGAGTGGTAAAATGTGTTGTGGTTGTCTTATTGTATACTGTTCCGCTTGAACTGTGTTTTATCGTTTCCTTTGGATTCTGGATTTGGGTTCATTTGCATTTAACAAAGTTGTCCGATTTGACCGAAACTGTTCTGCAAGGATTCTGTAGCCATGAGGTTTCCAACAAGTGGGCTGGAGAAGCGATGTATTTCTGGTAGGAAAATCATGGAAAAAACTTCATAATGATATAATCAGTGGTTTTCAGATTAATTTTCTGATTGAATCTGATTATTTGATTGATATGTTGAGGAGTGTTCTCTTTGGTATTTGCAAGTGGCGATGGAAACTCTCCCATACACCCAGGGTCTGAAGCACGGCTCCGAGCTTCGTTGTCCTCATCAAAGTGGTGGTTGTTTAATTTGAAGATGTGAAAACTCAAACAAAAACATCACCGTGACAGAGCTGCTTCAAGAGTATATCATAGGATGATCTGAGAAGGTTCTGGATAGTTCTGGATGGATTGCAGCCAGTTGGCATCCATTTTTTTCAAATGGCAGGGGCAGGGTGTGTCCTTTCGCTCTCAGGAAGTGATGGGGCAACTTGGATGGCAGTGGACTCGATGGGTGACATGGTGACATGGGATTCATCAACCCGGCTTTCCTGGCCAAATGAATCAAAGTGACATGATCTTTCGAGTTACAAATATGGTTGGCTGGAAAATCACCATGATTCTGATATGATGTTCGCAGCTAGAGACCGGCATTTTTCTCGGGGATTCTTCCAATCTTCTCCAATGATTTCCGCATTTTTCAGCAGGGATTTCCTGCAGCTGAGCTCAGGATCAGTGGTCCGCACCCAAGGTACTTGAACTGAAGGCAAGGGAATGGCTATTTCTTGGTGGCCTTACTTCAGCTATTTCTTGGTGACTTACTATAGCGCAGCCAGATAAATTTCCGTGGCTTTGTCTGAACATATTGGAAAAAAGCATGAAAAATCAACTTTGATGGTTATAAAATCATCATTTTCCCTACGAAATGGTTATAATTGAGCGTGTACATTCTTTCATACACACCCACATAATCAAATAAGAAGTGGTCAATAGCAATAAATATATAGTGCCTTTCATATCATTCTATGAAAGAATTATGTTGTGTTTCTTCGTTCCGTTTACGCTTCCAATACGGGCTCCTTCAACATGGCACAGTCCGAGGTCGAAGATACATGTACTGCAGAAATCTGCAGAATGCAAATGGGATTGAATCAATTTAGCTCTCTTGTTGAATGAAATTTATCCATATGAATCCCAATTACGGAACATACGCTGCGTTTCGCGTTTCGGATCCAAAGTGCTGGCCAGGGGGCATCAGCTGAGAAGGAAGGAGACATTAACAAGATGTTTGAAGGCTGCCCCTTTCCTTTCAAGGCCAGTTGGATGGGAACGTGTAGTATTTGTCAATGAAGCGCGTGCAGGGTGCAAGCAATTTCAAATAGAACATGCTGGAATTTTAACCTTTTGGGCCTTTTTAAACGCTGTAACGGAATAAATATGGCAGCTTGCTTCTGCCGAGCAGCATTCCGATCCGTCAAGCCAGGACAGGGTAATGAAGGCTCTTGCCGATGGAGCTGACTCAGTGACCATCGAGAAGAAGGAGACGTGAATTGAGGATGGTTTACAGTTCGCGTTAGCACATGAAGTCATCACATAGAATCACTAATATTTAATAATGTGACGTGGCAACCCCACGCATTTGTTTCCCAGAAAATCTTACACTCTTATAGTGATCTTGAAGAGATCTGAAAAAGAAAGAGACCCAGTGGCAAGCTTTTTTGCGCTATATCCCAACTATTGAGCCAAACATTCCAGTACTCTCGGTGAGAGATTTCAGCTGTAAATACATTTTACCTTGTGTTTTACAATGTTTTGAATTTAAATATGTATTATAACATATTGCAACCCAGTAAACATAATTGTAAGCATACAATTTATTATAATTGACCATATCATTGCATATTTTAGATAATGTATTTTGATAATATGGTGCAATGTGTGTGTGTGTGATTCACCTTGCAGCATCAACCCACGAGTCATTGACACGAACGCTGCTAGGTCAGCGCACTGCGTGACACCGTTGAAAATAGCCATGTGGCAATGAATATCATTTTCTGAGGCATGACCTCATAATACCTCATATGACCTCCCGAATCAATCAAGGCGTATCACGATTTTGCACATGACATCATATTCGTGTGATGTCGGTTTGAAAGATTTGGACGGGGCTTTAACCCAGTTGATAGCTGATGGTCGCGCATGTTAGAAGAGTCACTATGTTTGCAGAAGCGATGAAGCGATGGGTCATTGTGGATGATTGCTTGTCACCCTAACCGAGTGACAATGTCCGTTTTGGCCCCATATTCATTTTACACCTTCAAGCCAGCAACAGTTGTTTCTTTGAACCTAACGCTTCCCAAGAAATCCGAGAAGCAAACGCACGAACATAAGATGAACACAGGAACCTCATTGGCTCTAGATTGAAGTTCCTATGCAATACGTTACACAGATTAAGTCGACCTGGTATGTATTGACAGTATAATTCTTGTAATGTGGATAAACCATCCCCAACCATCAATTCATATGGGTGGTCTAAAAAAAACGATTTTAAAAAAAACATATATTATTCAAAAATATGGGTGGTCCATTATTTCCTATGATCGTTTTACCGACATTTTTACAGTTGCCATGTTGCCGTTTCTTCAGGAGGAAGTGGGTGGTCCGCGCACGTCCATTGAGGTGACCATCAAGCAGGGGTCACTTGGTGGAGATCTGGTGATCCAATGGTGATGTCATCAGACCGCCAAAGCTGAGACTTTTAACATCAATCAATGGGATTTCATGGGGTTTCATGGGATTCAACGGGATTTAACGGGATTTAATGAGATTTAATTGGATTTCATGATGGGATTTAATGGAAAACCATGGGTGATGATAGAAATTACTGGTATTCCGTGGTGGTTTTATGCGTTGACAATGGGAATTTTCGTGGTATTTGATGGTGACTCATAGGGATTTCACCACCAAAACTGATGGCTTTGCCTAGGGAAATGATTTACAGGGTTCTCCACACCGATGTTAGCGGAAACAGAAGGCTACTCTGGAAATTAACATACACCCTGGAGATGTTTACTGTAATTTGTTAGTGGAAACATGTGGATATGTTTAACAGCCCCTGAAGAGTGGGAGGGTCTATGTTAATTTACAGGAGGGGTCAGTGGCGATAGTAGTTGGTTCTCATTGTAATGGTGCAACCATTCTAATGTTTCGAATGTCTTGATCTAATGCAATCTAAGAATAACACGCATTATTGGTTCATATAGTGGGTTAACATTATGACAAGCAGTTTATATGTGCCGAAAAAAATAAACCAATATATAAACCAGTTAGTGTGGGTTAGTACTTAACTTATGGGTTAGTTCACCCAATTTTTATAACTCTGACGACCAGTCGATTCAGATCATCTCGGCTGGCTTTTCGCCCCTGCTGTGGGTTCACCGGGGTTTTTTGATGGTGAAGGATTTTCCACGTCGCTGGTTGTCTGGAGATGTTTTTCATGCGGGTCCTGATTTGTTGATTTGTTATCCCATAGTATGATTTTTTGTCAATTCTTGCTTGAGAAAGGCATCAAGTAGCTTAAACGAAAAGCAACAGTCATGTAGTCATGTACTCGGAGATTAAGGTCATGAGCAAACAGTTTTGTCTACATATATGGAGGGATCCCCAAAACTAATGACTTGGATGATTTATAATGATTTGATCAATGGGAATTCCAGGATCCTAAAATGGAGGTACTGTACCATATAAGGCCATATTTTGTGGGGATATATCCTTACATAGCCCTTACATAGGCCGTATATATGGTAGGTACCTCCAATTTAGGTTCCTGAAATGGCCATTGAATTGAGGGTACCCCCATTTTTAGAAATCCCATTTTTTCAGCTTCCAATTCTTGGATTTCTTGCCGGGGATGCGAGGTGTTCGACCTCTCGCGTCAGGGGCACCTACGGCGGAGGCTGATTCTAAAGATTCGTGGGAGACTGGATCAAGACGATTTGGTCAACCACGTTCTGAGGTCCGGGTGAGGTGATGCCAGGCACCCAAGATTCCAAGATTCCGATAGCAAGTCACCATGGTACTCCACATGGCACCACCCAGACCATCGATGACAAACCGGTCTGTTCGTTGGCAGCAATTCTGTTTGGCAAAGGCATAGCTCCGAGATGGTAGGGGTTTTGGCCTTTTCAAACAAGAGAGTTCAGTTTTTTGGGGCTCATCGAGCTTATGCAATGAATTTCCTTCGTGATCGACAACATTGTACTGCACCAAATGGACAGCAGGGGGCTGCCAGCAAAAAAACCTTGCCCTGCTCCTTTCGCATCCTGTGCCTCCTACATTTCCCCTGCCGTTGCCCCAAAAGACGTAAATGGTAGTTGTTAATTATTGTATAAGACAAGTCTTTTTTCAAAAAACATCGGAAAACATATCTCTCCATGTGGTCGGGTAATTTTGCCGTTTGATCGGGCAATGTCGCCGTTACAACATAAAATATATTTGAAAGTATTTGGACAATCTCAAAATTTGCCGTTCGCAAAAGGCAGACATTTAGCACTATTTAGAAGATGCCGGTATGATTTATTAATTTGGGGGTATATGTACCCCCAAAAGTGATGATTTGCGACCCTTCCAATTAAACAGCCCCGGAGGTTTATCATGGGGCTTCTGGTTCAAGGTTGACACATGTTCCCCAGCTGGATTGCTGCAGTTTCTGATGGTTTCAGTTCCCAATCCCTCAGCCACAGTTGTATTCCCAAGCCCAAAGTCAACAGAACGAGTCATCCACAAGATTGGTGTAACATGCCGAACAAAAATGGGACCCACCCCCAGAACCACCCCCAAACAAAAAACACATGACATGACTTCTGTCATATTTGCAATTGTGGTCAAGACTATTGCACCCCCCAAAAAGACACAGCTAGAGAAAGAACTAAGTTGCTTAACATAATTTGATGTACTTTGCATGAGTGTAGCGATGAAATAGCCAATATTCTGGGTCCATGAATTGCTCCAATTTTGACGCAACTATCTGGAGCCCCATGGAGCCCCTCAATTCCCTTGACAAGTTGGCTTACGACTAGTTGAACTATTATCTAACTATAGTCGACCTTCAGTAGATAGATATCTATGTAAATGTATGTATATTATTATATATTATATATATAATATATATAAATACACATTTGAATACATATACATATATATATATATATATACATATATATAGTATTCCAATGTATTCTATTGTTACATAGGTTAACATACCAACAAAACTGGGGGCCTCACACATGTATTCTTATCCAAAGTGAAGTCGTTTTTCTGCCGTTGCAGAGCGCTGCTGACGTTCCGGACTGACCACCCGGTTCCGAGACACAAGTGACGCCATACCACGCCTGTCGACCGGTGTGTCGCGCGGCAGCGCGTGGTGCGGCTGAGGGTGTTGGTCGGGATGGGTGGAGGCCCCAGATGAGTTGCTCCAAATGCCGCCACGGGGGAGATTGGATCGACCTCAAATTGATGGGGATGAAAAATGATGAAAATGCCTTCATTTCAAGTCCGTGCATATAATGATTATAATGCACCCATTGAGAATCATTGAGAATGCTTTCCGTAAACTGGAGGCAGCCATGGAGCACTTTCCATCAGTACCTGCTATGGTACTGCACTGGCGCAGTTTGTTCCCTCTTGGCTTCTCAAAGAAGGAACTATTTGGGCGAGGAACCTGTGCCCTGTGAATGTCAAAATTGCCAAGACAGCTCCAGCAGTTTCCCTTTGGTCTCATGTTTCTCCGAAAATTGAACAATCAAAATGTAATGACTTGAAATTGTTCAAGGAATTGTTGGGCCCTTGGGGATGTTGGACTGTAGAACTGTGCTGTTGGATGCGAGCTGCACAAAGACTTGGCACAAGATGTGCAGCAAGTCATGGTCTCCTGACGACCGCCCATTGAGGTCCCGGACCTCAAAAGGACGTGCAAAAAGAACACAGCTGGAACGTCCTTTTGAGGTCCCAGGCCAAAAAAGGAACATTGCTGTAACATCCAAAAAATCGTTAGTAATTGTGAATAATCGTGAGTGAATTGTGAGTAATGATGGTGAGTGAACATTGCAATATAAACCCTCGACCGTAAAATCATTGACATCCAATAACATTAACATTGCTATATACTATAAATATAAACCTATCGGCCGTAAACACTCGGCATTGATTTCTCGGCTTTGTAACACTTTTCCTAAGGACTCATTTAGTACGGCCTTGGGACTTGTAGAGTTTGGTATTTAACCAAAGAGCGATTGGGATGTTGATGGGAATACCCTCCGGTAATCAAACATGGCAATGGACAATTGCCCATTGATAGATGATTTACCTACTGGAATGGTGATGTTCCATTGTCCATAGCTTATATGTTCAAATTGCAAGAGGGTACACTTTACGTTCTACGAATTATAAAGAATATTTGTATCCAGAACTCTGTGTGTGTGTGAGGTGTGAGGTATCGAAAGCCAGCCGCATGTTGGGGGATGTGTTCTTCCCCTTAACATGAAGTCGCATTTTCATGTACAGTATTTTCCTTGTCCCAGTCGTTGAAGCTGAACATGTATGCTGTGCTCAGGTTACCCAGGAGAGGCCATGAATTGGAAGACTCACAGTTGACTGGACCAAGATTTCGGGAGACCCCGGCCAGCGCGAATCTCCACTGGCTGCTCGCACACAGCAAGGATTATGCTGCCAAAGCCTCATGGAACGCAGCAAAAGATGCCTCTTCACTACACTCCGATGTTTAACATGGTGCATGTCCAAAAGGAAACCCTTTTTTTGTTCAATATCCAAAGCCTTAGCTTTGAGTGTGCCTTGCAAGTTTTTGATGGGTTAACCATTTGTCTCATCCATTGATGTTGGTTGACAATGTGAGTCTGCTTTGAGGAGGACATTGAACCCTTCTTCGGTTCGAGTTTCATCCAATGATGGTTCATCGGGGCCCAATATCTCCCAGGTGTAAATCGGATACCTCGGTTTATTGTCTGAATTCTTGCGTATGACAATGGCAATTTTTAGGGGTATACCCCACCCAAATAGAATTCTTAAATGGATGTAAATGGTTTATTTCCCTGTGTTCCCCTATGAACATGGCAATTTTGAGGTACGGTATGCCCCACCCAAATAGATTCTTTAAATGCTTGGATTGCTGCTTGGCTCATCTTGGCTCAGCTTCTGAGTCGGGTGTGGGTCTTTGAGTCGGGTGTGGGTCTTAAACCGGCCATGGCGGATTGGAAACGGCAGACGTTGGAAACTGGGGCGGACAGAGCCAGGTAGTTTGGATCCATGGTAGTTGGGAAATCTTCGAAATCTTTGGGGAATACTGAAACAGATTTTATTCCTAGGTTTTGGGTTGCATATGGGTTACTATGTCCATTGACCCATTGGGGGATTCAAACACATTCAAGCCATGGCTATGGTTGATCCCCAATTCTTCGAACATTATGAATTACCGTGTTGTGTGCGATGTTGAGAATTGCTGTTTTCCTACCATTTTGCTGTCTCAAATGTCAAAGCTTGAAAACACAACGGCTTTGCTCAGCAAATTGTTGCCCAGATTCTTGTCATCGGGGCTGGACCAGAACTGGCTCCTATCACCGGTACCTCAGGATGCGCACAATGACTTTCGCAGAGAGCATGGGTCAGCTGCCTTGCAATGGAGTGATGAGTGCTATCAATCTGCCAAAAAGCAAGCCGATGCCTGTCAGGCAAAGGGCTGCATGTTTCATGTTCCTTGGTACCAGCTTGCGCGGGATTTTGCGCAGGATGCTTGCTGGAGGGTGTATGTGAATTCATATTGGTACATATGTACATATATAATTGTATAGACATAAATATAAATTATATTCATGTATTGATTATAGATGTAGAATGTATCATAATGTATCAGAGAGTTTGCTCGCCCCTTCCATGTGCAGATACATTTCTATTCCATGCAGAAATATGTCGTTTGATTGGGTTGCCCCCAACGAGTGCTGCTGATCCACATGGACCAGGATCATGAGCTGAAATACATGGGCCAGAGGGATGGATTTTGTGTATCACATTCTGTTTGCCATACCTCATATAGTTCTTATAATAGTCTATGTATAATATATATATATGTGATCGATAGAATTACGTTTGATTGCGTTTGTGTGGGGAGGAACGAAATAGACCCCAAAGGTCCCTGCCACATATATATATATACATATTGATGTTACTATACTTACTAAGTATCATGTATCAAACACACATCTTTCGAGAGCACTGCAAGGGTAGCCATCTTTGCCAAGCCAAAAAGCGTAAAGCACCACCGAGGGCACAACCTCCGGTCCCTCCGGACGGCATGGACAGAACATCTACTGGTGCAGTGCTCCTGGGTCATCAGCTAAAAAGATGCTTGTGCTGCATGAAAGTCACCGGAAGCCACTAAGAAAGTGGGAAGTAGCTTGATTCAGCCATAACAAACATGGAGGTTGAAGGTTTTTGTTCACGTTGAACAACTGGTTTGCACATGTTTTAACATGATTTTAGCGTTCAAAATGCGGATTGTTCAGCGCAAACATGATCAGTCTAACATATTTTAACAGTTCTAAAAGCAGAGTAGTTATCGGGGTCTTCCCAAAACAGTGATAATGTTGGTTCCTGATTAGTGTGGGGAGGCCCCCCCCCCCTAAACAAATTTGGGGTACAGAATAGTGTGGAAAAAACAAGGTACCGGGTACAGAATACGGTAAAATCAAAAAACATGATAGATTTAAATTGATTTCAATTTACTTTCAATTGATTTCAATTTATTTTGAATTGATTTCAATTTACTTTCAATTGATTTGACTTGATTTTGAATTGATTTCAATTTACTTTCAATTGATTTCAATTTACTTTCAATTGATTTCAATTTACTTTCAATTGATTTCAATTTACTTTCAATTGATTTCAATTTACTTTCAAATGATTTCAATTTATTTTGAATTGATTTCAATTTATTTTCAATTGATTTCAACTTACTTTCAATTGAATTCAAGTTACTTTCAATTCATTTCAAGTTACTTTCAATTGATTTCAATTTACTTGCAAGTGATTTCAATTTACTTTCAAGTAAAAGAAAAAAACAATCACCACAGGAAGCAGCTGGACACAATAGTGTACCCTCAAACAAACCATACTATTGTGTATCATGATCATTCATGTTTTTTTTTGCTTGGCTGAAACTAATCCTTTAGAAAGCCTTTGGTTTTGATTCCAAGAAAAATGAAGCTAAGTAAAAGGAGACAAACTTTAGCAAAGGAAAATGTAAAGGGAATGTTAAAAAACAAAATCACCTCAGGAAGCAGCTGGACACAATAGTGTACCCTCAAACAAACCATACTATTGTGTATCATGATCATATTCATTTCAAGTTGCTTTCAATTGATTTCAATTTACTTGCAATTGATTTCAATTTACTTTCAAGTAAAAGAAAAAAAACAATCACCTCAGGAAGCAGCTGGACACAATAGTGTACCCCCAAACAAACCATACTATTGTGTATCAGGGTTGCTCATGGACTACCCCTTTGAAAAATTGTTTGAGTGATGTTTTTTAATTGGGTTTTAATAAGGCATCAATTTTTTGGGGAAATTGAGCATTTCTGAGAATTCTAAATAAAAGAAACTAATTGAGAAAATAAAAGAAAAAACTTTAGCAAAGGAAAATGCAAAGGGAATGTTAAAAAAAACAAAATCACCTCAGGAAGCAGCTGGACACAATAGTGTACCCTCAAACAAACCATACTATTGTGTATCATGATCATATTCATTTCAAGTTACTTTCAATTGATTTCAATTTACTTTCAAGTAAAAGAAAAAAAAACAATCACCTCAGGAAGCAGCTGGACACAATAGTGTACCCTCAAACAAGCCATACTATTGTGTATCAGGGTTGCTCATGGACTACCCCCTTGAAAAATTGTTTGAGTGATGTTTTTTTAATTGGGTTTTAATAAGGCATCAATTTTTTGGGGAAATTGAGCATTTCTGAGAATTCTAAATAAAAGAAACTAATTGAGAAAATAAAAGAAACAAACTTTAGCAAAGGAAAATGTAAAGGGAATGTAAAAAAACAAAATCACCTCAGGAAGCAGCTGGACACAATAGTGTACCCTCAAACAAACCATACTATTGTGTATCATGATCATTCATGTTTTTTTTTGCTTGGCTGAAACTAATCCTTTGGAAAGCCTTTGGTTTTGATTCCAAGAAAAATGAAGCCAAGTAAAAGGAAACAAACTTTAGCAAAGGAAAAGGAAATGGTTGAAAAAAAACATAACCTCAGGAAGCAGCTGGACACAATAGTGTACCCTCAAACAAACCATACTATTGTGTATCATGATCATTCATGTTTTTTTTGCTTGGCTGAAACTAATCCTTTGGAAAGCCTTTGGTTTTGATTCCAAGAAAAAATGAAGCTAAGTAAAAGGAAACAAACTTTAGCAAAGGAAAAGGAAAAGGAAATTGTTGAAAAAAAACAATCACCTCAGGAAGCAGCTGGACACAATAGTGTACCATCAAACAAACCATACTATTGTGTATCAGGGTTGCTCATGGACTACCCCCTTGAAAAATTGTTTGAGTGATGTTTTTTAATTGGGTTTTAATAAGGCATCATATATATTTGGAAATTGAGCATTTCTGAGAATTCTAAATAAAAGAAACTAATTGAGAAAATAAAAGAAAAAACTTTAGCAAAGGAAAATGTAAAGGGAATGTAAAAAAAAACAAAATCACATCAGGAAGCAGCTGGACACAATAGTGTACCCTCAAACAAACCATACTATTGTGTATCATGATCATTCATGCTTTTTTTGTTTGGCTGAAACTAATCCTTTGGAAAGCCTTTGGTTTTGATTCCAAGAAAAATGAAGCTAAGCAATTAAAAGGAAACAAACTTTAGCAAAGGAAAAGGTAAAGGGAATGTTTCAAAAAATATCACCTCAGGAAGCAGCTGGAGACAATAGTGTACCCTCAAACAAACCAGACTATTGTGGATCTCGATCATTCAATTGATTTGAAGTTACTTTTTCAATTGATTTCAATTTACTTTCAATTGATTTCAATTTACTTTCAATTTACTTTGAATTGATTTCAAATTACTTTGAATTTACTTTCAATTAAATTCAATTTACTGCCAATTTACTTTCAATCGACATCCCATAGAAATCCAATAGTAGTCCCAAAGAAATATCATAGAAATCCCATAGAAAGATCATAGAAATAACATGGAAATCCCATAAGAATCTCACAGAAATCCCATAGAAAGATCATCGAAATAACATGGAAATCCCATAAGAATCTCACAGAAATCCCATAGAAAGATCATAGAAATAACATGGAAATCCCATAGGAATCTCACAGAAATCCCATAGAAAGATCATAGAAATAACATGGAAATCCCATAGGAATCTCACAGAAATCCCATAGAAAGATCATAGAAATAACATGGAAATCCCATAGGAATCTCACAGAAATCCCATAGAAAGATCATAGAAATAACATGGAAATCCCATAGGAATCTCACAGAAATCCCATAGAAAGATCATAGAAATAACATGGAAATCCCATAGGAATCTCACAGAAATCCCATAGAAAGATCATAGAAATAACATGGAAATCCCATAAGAATCTCACAGAAATCCCATAGAAAGATCATAGAAATAACATGGAAATCCCATAAGAATCTCACAGAAATCCCATAGAAAGATCATAGAAATAACATGGAAATCCCATAGGAATCTCACAGAAATCCCATAGAAAGATCATAGAAATAACATGGAAATCCCATAAGAATCTCACAGAAATCCCATAGAAAGATCATAGAAATAACATGGAAATCCCATAGGAATCTCACAGAAATCCCATAGAAAGATCATAGAAATAACATGGAAATCCCATAGGAATCTCACAGAAATCCCATAGAAAGATCATAGAAATAACATGGAAATCCCATAGAATCTCACAGAAATCCCATAGAAAGATCATAGAAATAACATGGAAATCCCATAGGAATCTCACAGAAATCCCATAGAAAGATCATAGAAATAACATGGAAATCCCATAAGAATCTCACAGAAATCCCATAGAAAGATCATAGAAATAACATGGAAATCCCATAAGAATCTCACAGAAATCCCATAGAAAGATCATAGAAATAACATGGAAATCCCATAGGAATCTCACAGAAATCCCATGGAAAGATCATAGAAATAACATGGAAATCCCATAGGAATCTCACAGAAAGATCATAGAAATAACATGGAAATCCCATAGGAATCTCACAGAAATCCCATAGAAAGATCATAGAAATAACATGGAAATCCCATAGGAATCTCACAGAAATCCCATAGAAAGATCATAGAAATAACATGGAAATCCCATAGGAATCTCACAGAAATCCCATAGAAAGATCATAGAAATAACATGGAAATCCCATAGGAATCTCACAGAAATCCCATAGAAAGATCATAGAAATACCATGGAAATCCCATAGGAATCTCACATAAAACCCATAGAAAGATCATAGAAATAACATGGAAATCCCATAGGAATCTCACAGAAATCCCATAGAAAGACCATAGACATAATATGGAAATCCCATAGGAATCTCACAGAAATCCCATAGAAAGATCATAGAAACATCATGGAAATACCTTGGAAATCCCACAGGAATCCAATAGAAATTCCATAGGAATCTAATAGAAATACCATAGAAATCCCATAGGAATCCAATGGAAATCCCATAAGAATACCATAGAACTCCCATAGCACCCCTTCAGAAATCCCATAGAAATCCTCCAGAAATATCCCATAGGAATTCCACAGAAATCCAATAGTAATACCATAGAAATACCATAAAAGAAAAAAACTTTAGCAAAGGAAAAGGTAAAGGGAATGCTTGAAAAAAATCACACGAGGAAACATCTGGACACAATAGTGTACCCTCCAAACAAACCACACTATTGTGTATCAGGGTTGCTCATGGACTACCCCCTTGAAAAATTGTTTGAGTGATGTTTTTTAATTGGGTTTTAATAAGGCATCATATATTTTGGGAAACTGGGCATTTCTGAGAATTTCAAATGAAAGAAACTAAGAAAGTAATTAATTGAAAAGAAAAAACTTTAGCAAAGGAAAAGGTAAAGGAAATGATTGAAAAAAAAAAAAATCATCACCTCAGGAAAGCAGCTGGACACAATAGTGTACCCTCCAAACAAACCACACTATTGTGTATCAGGGTTGCTCATGGACTACCCCCTTGAAAAATTGTTTGAGTGATGTTTTTTAATTGGGTTTTAATAAGGCATCATATATTTTGGGAAACTGGTCATTTCTGAGAATTTCAAATGAAAGAAACTAAGAAAGAAATTAATTAAAAGGAAAACGCTTTAGCTAGCAAAGGAAAAGGTAAAGGAAATGATTGAAAAAAACAAAAAATCATGACCTCAGGAAGCAGCTGGACACAATAGTGTACCCTCCAAACAAACCACACTATTGTGTATCAGGGTTGCTCATGGACTACCCCCTTGAAAAATTGTTTGAGTGATGTTTTTTAATTGGGTTTTAATAAGGCATCATATATTTTGGGAAACTGGTAATTTCTGAGAATTTCAAATGAAAGAAACTAAGAAAGAAATTAATTGAAAGGAAACCACTTTAGCTAGCAAAGGAAAAGCTAAAGGAAATGATTGAAAAAAATAAAAAAAATCATGACCTCAGGAAAGCAGCTGGACACAATAGTGTACCCTCCAAACAAACCACACTATTTTGTACCTGGATGTAATTTTCTGTGGAAGGCATCTGGAAAATTTCAATGCTGGAAAATAAAAAGTAAAAGGAAAAAGCTTTAAAAAATGAAAAAAATGAAAAATGTTTGAACAACAAAAAAAGACCAAGACACAATTGTGTATCCTGACACAATGACACAATTGTGTATCCTGACACAATTTTACAAAATAATAAAAAATATATAATTAAAAATAAAAATAATTAAATTAAAAATTATTATAATTAAAAATAAAAATAAAAATAATTTAAAATAAAATAAAAAATAATTAAATTAAAAATTATTATAATTAATTAATTAAAAGTAAAAATAAAAAATAATTTATAAAAAATATTATAACTAAAAATAAAAATAAAAAATATTTTAAAATTTTAAAATAAAATAAAACACAATTAAAAACTAAAACAATGAAAAAAATGAAAAAAAACTTACACCAAAATCCTGTGGACACAAAACTGTACCCTCGATCATTTCCAAAGTTTCAGAATAATTTTGAGGTCTGTGGACACAATTCAGTATCCCCACACTAATCAGGATCCAACATTAGTCGGGAGTTTATCATTCCGGTGTTGAAGGGTAGGTGAAATGGATTAGTCTTGAATATTTTGGTAGGGGAAGTATTGCGACCCGCTAATTGGTTATGTGGTGGATGACAAAGAGAGCTAACCTCACTTGGACTTCCAACAGTCATGTCAATCACTTGAGGTTTCTTTCCCTGTGCCCCTCATGACGAATCGCCGAGGATGGTGAAGGCCTGGTATGACGAGATTGCCGCCTACGATTTTGGTCACTTAATGGAAGTGGGATGGTGCTATTCATGATATGTTTGTGTTGTGTCTTCCATTTTCATGAATTTTGATGACCACTTCTTTTTCACTGTGGTTCATACATGGCCAAACAATGTTTTGTGCAGTTTATTTATTGCAGCTACTAGTGGTAATTAACAACTTAGGTGCGCATGAATCACCAGCATACTTTTGCTAAGCACTGGGGACAAGCCTGAGCTGGGATTTTGCTGGGGTAGTTTCAATTCCTTTGAATTTTGACACAAGCCACTTTTGGGTTCTGCCACAAGTACGATGGGTAAACCGGTGGTAATTGAACCATAGCATAACATAGCTATGGACAATCAGCATGTTCATGAGGTAAATCATGGTAAATCAATCCCCCTTGGAATTTCCTCTACAGAATCAGGACAGTTAAGCTGGGGAAAATGGTGCGTTTTAACCCCCTGCTTTGTTTAGGGGTACCTACCCAGCGTCAACGCTTGCAATTTTATATAGGACCTTGGGGTCTCTGATTCTATAGAGATTTCATGTTGAATACAGCACTGAGTACTAGTTAGCAGAGAGTCTTAGGTCAGCTGTCAATGAATGATACTACTTAGGGAGTCTGATTTTATAGAAGGCCAACTAACCCCACAACCTAAAAAAGGCTCTGAGAGAGTGACTTGGTGTCAGCAAGTCTATAGGGGATGATGCTCATAAACAACCTCAGTGACATCAATTCTATAGAGATTGTCAACTTGAAAATACCTTGGGGTCTCTGATTCTATAGATGCATTTTCAGAAAGAGGGTCAACGTCTCCAGAATTATCACTATAAAATTGCTGACACCAACACTCTCACTTAATTCAAAGGGGGATGTAAATCATCTATAGCCGAATAGCTTTGGGCCATCTTCCATAGCTATGTTAAATCAGGGGTCCAACTCCAGTATCCCGAGCACGCCCAGGTGGTGACTACCAAAAGGGCACTGGACACTTCACTCAAGTTGTTTGGAAAGGACAGGGGGCGACGGGAAAACGTGGCCGATTTGTATGGATCACTAGGGCTGAAGATCTGGTGTGATTGAGAATTGCTGCAGTGTAGCCAGCTATCCAGTCCTAAATGCAAGGGTTCGATTTTCTTGAACGTGGGGGAATATGTCAGGTATAATGATTGTGGTCGTCATCTCAGTGCGAATTTTCCCCTCCTGCTTTCTCACTGAAGTTGATCTTAACCGATCATAATTTTAGAGATCTCCCGCCGCCGGAAACCAGAACGGTCACTACTTGTATAAGTTGCGAGCATTCGTTTTTTTCTGTTTAATTTGATTTTGATTTGTTGATTTGTTCTTGCTTTTTTATGCCGCTTTGTTTTCACTTTTTTGGGCACATACATATTTTATTTTGCTAATTTTTAGGATCTGGCTTCTAGCGGTGAACTTAATTTTATACTGCTACCCGCAGAGATACCAAAATTGCAGTCTTGATATGTTCCAATCCCGGATGAGTACCCTGTGATTGATTAATTTGCAGGGGCACCCAAAAAAGCCAAATAGAGGTGTCCTAAAATGGGGGTACCCCTAAATTATCTATTTTATATAATAGGATGTCCCATTATGAACCATGCATTTGGGGGATCCCCCTTGTATCCCCATTTATTCCGCAAATAGCTTGGAGTCTGGAAAATGGATCGCTCCAGTTGACGAAGGCGATTCCCCGCAGGAAGCACGCATGTGGGCATGGCTTTATCAGAAGATGGCAAATTTTGTGTTGCGAACTACTTTCCCGGAGGCACCGTAGGGAATCTTTGACATGATGGGCCTTTGCTGTCCAGTAAATTGCCATAATTGAATTGCCATAGATATGGCAAACACATCTGCAAGGAAAATGATCTACAAACGGTGGGTTTTCTGTATCTACAGTAATTTGCTGGGTCCGTGCTTCTTGGCCATTTACTGTACCATCTATCATGTACAATATGTATATTATATATATATGTATACGTATAGATATGTGTGTGGGTAGTTTTTTGGTTATTAATATATACAATATCTGGTATACATGTATACAAGCAGTGTGTAGAGAGAGAGAGAGAGAACGACATAAATGTAGCGTTCACATCAGGATAGATTGAAAATTACCCTCAGGGTATATTGATTTGCATGGCTTGCCCCATTTGCCCCTCGAGGTAATGTGATCGGCCGGTTGCTTGGCACTGAGAGCTGGCACAGAGTTGGACCAGTCACGGGCTGATTGATTCAGTTTAGATGATTGCCCACACTTTCCCCTGTCAACATAGCTATGGAACAAATGGCCCATTTATGCATATTTATGACTTACCTATTACATAAACGTGCTGATTTTCCATAGCTATGTTTACAACAACATTGCAGAGGGTTAACGGATGGATACAATCACATTCAATCAGACTTGATTGGTTTGATTTTGTTTGGCGTCCAAAGTTTGAGCAAAAACATCAAACACCATAAGCAGTAAAAGCAACAGGTGGCAGTCACTCTTTTGCTGGTTATGGACACAAAATAATTTGAAGCATGTATCAATGGCCATTTCAGGAACCTAAATTGGAGGTACAGTACTACATTTTAGGATCCTGAAATTCCCATTGAATGTACCCTCTGGTTATTTAACATAGCCATGGGAAATGGCCCATAGAAATAGATGGTTTACCGTTTGCCTATTAAAAATGGTGGATCTTTCCATGGCTAAGTCGTTCTAAGTCCCTCTTCCATCCGGATCACAGAACCCAGCTGGCAGCTGTTCCGATGACTCCTTGCCCACGGTTTTTGGAAGACTTGCTTCACCGGTGACAAAGAAATGCTGTTTGGGGGTTTCTGTTGTATAAAATTGTCGGGCCTAATTGGATTTTATAGGCTATATGTAGATTGGGATGATTACGAATTATTTAGGATGGTGATCCCCATTTGATGAAAAGAGATAGATTTGTCAGTTTTTCACATTCGGCGAGTTTTTGGATTCATCATTGATTTTGGGTACCACATGTTTACACCAAGCCAGGTAATTGCTTGTGTGCTTTAGAAAAAAAGAATGTAAAAAATAACGCAAACCCAGCCGCAAACCTATCAAACGCCAAACTCAGATTCAAAGAGAATGTCCTGCCGCATGGCAGTCCCTATGTCCCCGAGAAAGCTGAGGACGCACGCCCTGCTCCGGTGGATGGAGGGTATTGCTGACCCCAAAGGACATGTGGGTTTGTCTGAAAATACGGGGTACCCCCAAACTTTTATCACGATTTGTCACAATTGTCCATTTCCAAATGTTGCTATTTGGGGGCCTTTGGGGCGTACCAAATATACTGATAGACCCTGTTTTCAGACACAGGATAGTACAAAGCAGGCATGCGCATGCAAAAAAATAATTTATATAACATGATTTAAGATCCTGAAGCCCAAAAGCAAACTCATGAATACTCATGATACATGTATATACATATATTTGTATTATTACTATTATTCTTCTTATTATTATTCAATTGCATATCTATCTCAGTTGCATATCTATCTATTTGTTTGTTTGTTTGTCTATCTATCTATCCATCTATCTATCCATCCATCTATCAATCTAATCTAATCCAATCCAATCCAATCCAATCCAATCTAATCTAATCTTTTCTATTCTATCATTCTATCTATCTATCTATCTATCTATCTATCTATCTATCTATCTATCCACCTATCTATCTATCTATCTATTTATCTATCTATCTATCTATCTATTTATCTATCTATATTTTTTTTTATCTATCTATCTATCTATCTATCTATCTATCTTTATATATATATATATATCTATATCTATCTATCTCACTCTATCTATCTATCTATCTATTTATCTATCTATCTATCTATCTATCTATTTATCGATCTATCTATCTATCTATCTATCTATCTGTTTGTCTATCTATCTATCTATCTATCTATTTATCTATCTATTTAATCTATCTATCTATCTATCTTTCTTTCTATATTTCTATCTTTCTATCTATCTATCTGTCTGATCCATCTGATCCATGCGATCTATCTAGCTTTCTTTCTTTCGATCTATCTATCTATCTGTCTGTCTATCTATCTATCTATCTATCTTTCTATATTTCTATCTTTCTATCTATCTATCTATTTTTCTGTCTGATCCATCTGATCCACGTGATCTATCTATCTTTCTTTCTTTCGATCTATCTATCTATCTATCTACCTATCTATTATCTATCTATCCATCTATCTATCTATCTATCTATCTATCTGCCTATCTATCTATCTGATCCATCTGATCCATTTGATCCATTTGATCTATCTATCTATCCATCTATCCATCTATCTATCTATTTGTTTATCTATCTATTCATTTTCGTTACGTTTCCACTGGATATTCGGACCTTAGAAGAATTTGCCAGGACCCTTCTCAAGGCACGCGACGCCGCTCACTGCGGTGCTTATGGCTCATACCTTTGAAATACCCTCTGGTGATTTAACATAGCTATTGAAAATGGCCCATTTATAGATTATTTACCTATTAAACATGGTGATTATCCATAGCTATGTTAGTTTACCAGAGGGTATGTTGAAATTTGGTATGATAGATTTTGACCATGCAATGTGGGAAAAATATGCAAACTATCATTTAGGAGAATGGGGTTGACAATTTATGTGTTGTTTGTTCATTGCCTATCTGCCAAACTAACAATATAATAACATAATATAATATATAACATACAATAATGATATTACATTGTGAGTAAAATTGATTGACCACGCCTGATCCTCGCCTGATGGTTGGGAAGGGGAATTTAAGCATTCAAAAGTTGGCTTTAAGTGCATGTGGGAAAAATTGTGCATTTCCTATATGTCAACACTATTCAAAACCATTACACTTGGCTGAATGTGCTACAATGTAGGGCGAATACATAATCACCCTGAATTGCTTGTGATTTGTGTTCGTAGCATTGCGGCAAATGGCTAATCACCAGCTGTGCTTGGTTGAGTTTACCATGTGGCAAAACAAATAGACAAAGTTAAATGTCCATGAAAATTCTTAATTTTTGAGTGCTCATATGTTTTCATGCGATGGTGTTTTCATGATTTTTCATGCAATGGTGAACTGGTTGTTTTTCCAGAGGGTCGTATGGGTCGTGTTCCACTTCTGTTCAGGTTGCTTCAGGTAGGATTCATCGGAATGAACGTAAGTCACTAGTAGGGAAATGTTTGCACAAGACTAGCGATAGAACAATCTGAAACTACTATTACTATATTAAACATATCCATAAGTCGTTTGATAAGTTTGCTGGCCCCCAAATCATACCTCCAATTCTTCCTGAGAAGGCATTTGGATTTGTAGCGTTTGATTGATATACATGCATGCATGCATAGATTTATCAAAGACAAGAAACATCTCTCCCTCTCTCTTTCTTTCTCTCTCTCTCTCTCTCTAGATCGTCAACCCCCTTTGATCCATAATCTTATATGATTGTATATTGGAGGTTTCCTAAAATTGGGGTGCCCCTAAATCATTCATTTTCATAGAATTTCCCTCCATAAACCATCCATTTTGGGGATCCCCCATTTATTTCCATTTATAGAAACACCACGAAGCCGGCCACCCATCCATCCATCCATACATGCACGCACGCACGCACGCATGCATGCATGCATAATATGCTGTATACATAGGCTTACCTAGGCCTTGTTTGATGAGTTGCCATACCTCCCGGAGAGTGAGATCCTGGACCGGCCACATTAACCTGGCGCCTGTTAGGCTCGTGCCGATCTGTGACGGAGGTGCTGCGGCTCGCAGATTTCGGGGCTTCCACCAGATTTTCCCAACGAATTCTGGGAAGAACGACTTTTCATAATTTGATATGTGTTTCCAATGGTTTCCATACATTGTTGTTAATTACATGTTTTGTTTTATCTTGTTGTGTACATGTAGGTACTGTCCAAACATGGGGTATCCTGAAAATCTTTGGGATGAAGTTCCGCTGAGCAGGTGCTGACACTGGCAGATTGGGGACGTAGCCATACAAAAGTGGCGCCCACTAGTTTGGAAGCCCTGGAGTTGAGTTTGGAGTTTGTTGCAGTGATCATGTCCTTGATAAGATATCTACCCTCTGGTTATTTAACATGGCTATGGAAAATCCATTATAAAAGGAGGTTTTACTGGGAAAATCATCTGTAAATGGGCCATTTTCCATATCTACTATGTTAAATTACCAGAGGGTAATATATTATATATGTACATATTTAGGGCTCTCTCGTTGTTTGTCCACGCATGTGGATAGACATGCTATGCGCGCACACACACACACATATGTACATATATATGTACATGTTTCATGTAAACAAACCAATGTCAATTACTGTACATTGAAATCTCTTTACAAATGTATTCTATATTTGTTACCCTCTGGTAATTTAACATAGCTATTGAACATGGCCCATTTACCGTTGATTTACCCATTGAAAATTGAGATTTTCCGCAGGTGATCCGTGGAGCAGATCTCCGTCATGATCACCATGGTCCCAAAGTTCCTCAGTGGCTAAATGCTCCACAAGGAGCATTTTACGGATGGATAGGGATGGATGTTGAGTTGGGTACGGGTATGTTAGAAAACATTCTTTGGTGAGTTATGAGTTGTGAAAATTGATTGATTTGATTGGTTGATTGATCACTTTTCGACCCCGTGGCTTCCCCGCCTGCCTCATTGATTTGCCAAGGCAAAGTTTAAGGGTAACTATGGAAAAGCACCATTTGTTTTAGAAATCAATGGAAATCATCATAAATCATCTGCACATGGATCATTTTTCACAGCTACATGTTAAATAACCAGATGGAGAACAGTTCTCGTTTTTTGGATCCATGTTGAAAGGTGAATTGTATGGTGTATATGTCTGTGTGTTTGTTCCATCGGATCGCTGTCCATTGTTGTTGTTGTTGTTGTTGGTGGTGGTGGTGGTGGTGGTGGTGCTGTTGGTGTTGTTGTTTGTCGTTTGTCGTTTGTCGTTTGCTGTTTGTTGTTTGTTGTTTGTTGTTGTTGTTGTTGTTGTGGTTGTTGTTGTTGTTGGTTGTTGGTTGTTGGTTGTTGGTTGTTTGTTGTTTGTTGTTTGTTGTTTGTTGTTTGTTGTTTGGTGTTTGTTGTTTGTTGTTTGCTCTTTGTTGTTTGTTGTTTGTTGTTTGTTGTTGTTGTAGTTGTTGTTGTTGTTGTTTGTTGTTTGTTGTTTGTTGTTTGTTGTTTGTTGTTTGCTGTTTGCTGTTTGCTGTTTGCTGTTTGCTGTTTGCTGTTTGCTGTTTGTTGTTTGTTGTTTGTTGTTTGTTGTTTGTTGTTGTTTGTTGTTGTTGTTGTTGTTGTCAAGACATGTGTGGTATCATATCATTGTTTAGAATACCCATCCAATTGACAATTTCAGGGGCTCATTGCAGCCACTGGATCTCACTTCATATGCAAATCAAACCGCAGGGATTCAGTATTTACAGAAATATATTCACGTGCATATACTTTACATATATGATCACATATACAGAGAATTATGCAGAGACACACGCATCCAGCGGCCCTGAGGTAAAGCTGCCACAACGGCGACCCAGTTATAGCGGAGGCGATGGTTTTTAGGACAAATCAACTATCATATATCTGGGTAAATTATAACAACCTCACTGTCCTCCCGAGCGCTGGAATCATGGTTAATAAGGGAAATCATCCCCAAATGGCCGCACGATTCAGGTTAGTGAAATATAATAATTTACCCAGATATTTGGGTATGTCTGAAAATGTGGTATATTCCCAAAAGGCTATAAGGCAGGGAAAATGATGATAAACCAGTGGATGAAAAAATTGGACATTCTATTTTCATACAAAGCTATATAATTGGCCGCCAAATCAACTTATAACCAGCGGGCACCACCTTGTTCTGGGTTGATATACACACATTTGTTTTTTTAATTGTTGAGCGTCCCGAAGCTTGGAAGAAGATCTTTGTGAACATATTTGGATTGAAACACCACAGGTCACAGGGGTCGTATATTTCGTCATGATCCCATCGACTCTCCTTGCTGTGGCAGGTTCCAAGTCTGGGCCAGAGGCTGGCATCGGAGCTGTTCATCGGTCCCAGTCATAATATATTTCAATATCAGGGGGATGGGATTCTTTAGATTCCTTCCAAGCATCAAAGATTCACAACGGACACTTCCCTCCCAGTGTACATTGAAGATTGTCTACATTTTCAATTGTGTATATTGTAACCTGTGTTATATATATATATATATCTATGTGTGATCATGGATCTAAAGGTCCATGTAGAGATCTTCCATTAGAAAGAAAAACGGGTTCAAACATGTTCGCGATTTTTTTGGACGAAAGATTTAGCGAACGATTTTGAAATGAGACCCCCGCGAAAGATAAACGTGGGGTTCACGAAGATTCGCTTAAGTAAGTTCGTTATTCACGAAGAATGGCCGTTTGCAGATAAAAGGAATTTAGATCAACGGCCGTATAATACATACATATATATATATATGTGTGTTGCAATTTATACTATATAATGTATAATATACATATCATTTGAGCTGGAGTAAGCCTGGCCGTGTCCTTCCCCTTGCTGGAGTTCTTTTTGGCCGTGCATTGGGGCAGGCGCGATTTCCTGATGAAATGAGCAAATTCTTCAAGGACAGGTAGTGTGGATAATTTAGGTGCAAGACTGTTGAGCAACCCATGAAATGTGACATCCCTATCAAACAAATTGATTTATGTACCTATCAAAATGATTACGTTCCATAGTTATCAGAAGGTAAACTCTAGATATTTCATCAGATTGTTCCCTTGACATTAAGCGACTCGTTTGATCTAGGTTGCTCTTGTGATGGAAGGTGTTCTTTGGTTGGTGTTTGGTTGGAGGGCAGAGAACCACCCATTTGAGGGGATGTTGTACTGCAAAGTGCTGCAAAGACCTAAGCTTTTCCACCTGACTATCGGAGGCAGAATCCCTGCAGGATGGCCATTGTTCTCAACTTGCGAATTGTCGAACTCGAACTGTCAATCCAACTTCTGCCCTTTTCTCCTGTCAGGAGAGATCCATATACAGTACTGTACTTTTTGTCCGCAATGTTCAGATGGCACGTTTGTTCCAATGCAGCATCAGGACCTGGAGTTTCCTTCGACCCGGAGAAGCAGTGGATATTCCGAGGGCCATAGCACCGTGACAAGGAAGGCTGGCTATCAGCGTGCCCCTTGGTGCACGCGTGATCCGCCTTTGCGTCATGTCAATGATACTGCCGCTGGGAGGTATCCCCATCGATCCCAGTGGCATTTCATATATATATATATACACATGCATATTAATATGTATGTATACCTACTATACTGTATGTATATATGTATGTATGTATCTTTTTATGCACACACACACACGTATATATGTATGTATATATATATATGGCTATCAGATCATCATACCTTCTCTGGTTGTCAATATTCCAAGTCATCCAGAATTTGTGTCTAGCCTTTGCACACCAGAATTCGTGGTGATTGTTGGCTTGTAACTGGTAGGTTGATGAGTTGTGTTTTGCGAAATAGTCATTAGATGCGCTGAGGAAACTGGGCTGCCAACGCAGTTCCAGTCTTCCAGCAGCAGCTGCGGTGGAACCCGATCTACGACCACCGTGACAAAGACCGTGGCAAGCAACGGCACGGCCGCTGGGAAGCAGCGAGTCGCTGTGGAGTTGCCAAGAGAAATCGGGGATATGTGGATATGCTTGAAGAAAATGGCGATGTGACACACACACAGAGACACACACATGCACATGTGTATCTAATATTTATATATATATATATGTAAAATTAATTAATTATATATATATATATATATATCATAATATGTTTTTAATGATGTACAATGATATGTAATTACATCTGGATATTATCATCATAGCTATTTATATATATATATATATACACACACTTGTACGTACATAAATGCTAGAACTAAGGCGTGCTGGTATTTCCGGAGATGTGTTTCTTAAATATGCTTAGCCTTCCATCCCTCAAGGAAGGAAAGGGGATGATTATCCAAGTGATCTGCAGGGGGCCCTTGTGTAGGTGATATATTGGCTCCGCGTAGGTGCTTGTTCAAACACGCTGATTTAAATGATTTAATTAGTATAGACCTCGATGAGTGCAAAATCTAGCGGACTTGACTTTATTTCACAAAGACTATTGCCCAAGAAGATTGGCATTGGTGGTTCTGATTGTTTGGAAGACGCAGAGGTGTTCTATTGCTTCCTTCCCAAAACGGGGGCACAAACGAAACTGACAGGAGACACTAAGGGTCAAGAACTCGAGAAGCATGAGAGAGAGAGAGGGCTGGCTCATTTGGCCTTCAATTTTCTGGGTTACTTCCATTTGATTGCAAATCCTGCAACAACTTCACCTCAACTTCCCTAAAATGAGTGTTATTGACTTTAGTTTGCGGCCTTGTCAATCATAGTCATAGTCATCAATAATTGTCAATCACTTTTTGTTTTACAGCAAGTATTTTTGGACATAAAGCAACTGCTGATTGACGGGTTAAATAAGAAAATTGGCTTTATGATTCTCCATGATCAAATATGGCTGGAATCGATTAACTACCCGCTCAAAGACTTGGATGCAGAGAAACCTCCAGCAAACCCTGCAAATTGTTTGGTGGAAACCCAAAATGAATTGGTTTCCTGTCGTGTCCTCACTAGTACTAACCATCCAAGGTTGACTCAGTGATTCTTGGTTAAGTTACATCCGATCCCCTTCATATCAACATCATCCATTCTTCTCAGGTCTACCCAGGGCCATCACTGGTTGGGGGTTTGGAACATTTTTCCGCACCTGCCAGGTGAGGGTTGTTAGATTTTATCAGAGCTGTTCTCCTCCTCCTCCGCCTCCTCTGCCTCCTCCGCCTCCTCACCCGCCGCCTCCTCCTCGCAGTCCAGATCCCAGTGGGCACAGCCGGACCTCCACCGCGAGCTCCAGATCCCAGTGGGCACTGCCGGACCTCAACCGCGAGTTGCAGATCGCAGTGGGCACTGCCGGACCTCAACCGCGACTTCCAGGTCGCAGTGGGCACTGCCGGACCTCAACCGCGACTTCCAGATCGCAGTGGGCACTGCCGGACCTCAACCGCGACTCAGTGGGCACTGCCGGACCTCAACGGGAAGAATGTCAGAAAAGATGTCAGATAGAATGTCAGAAGATATGCCAGATAGAATGCCAGAAAGAATGTCAGAAAGAATGTCACAAGATATGCCAGATAGAATGCCCGAAGACATACCAGAAGATATACCAGAATATATGCCAGAAGATATGCCAGATAGAATGCCGGATCGAATGCCAGAAAGAATGTCAGAAAGAATGTCAGAAGATATGCCAGACAGAATGTCAGAAGATATGCCAGAAAGAATGTCAGAAGATATGTCAGATAGAATGTCAGAAGATATGCCAGAAGATATGCCAGATAAAGTGCCAGAATGTTTGCCGGATAGAATGCCAGAAAATTTGAGTAGATAATATGCCAGAAGATATGCCAGATAAAATGCCATGAGATATGCCAGATAGAATGCCAGAAGCTATGCTAGATAGAATGCCAGAGGATATGTCAGATAAAATGCCATGAGATATGCCAGATAGAATGCTAGAATGTTAGAAGATATGCGATAGAGAATGTTGGATCGAATGCCAGAAGATATGCCACATAGATTGGCAGAAAGTGTGCCAGAAGATATGCAGGATAGAACGTCCGAAAGAAGTTTGCCAGTCAAACCATGCCAGATAGAATGCCAGATAGAATGCCAGATAGAATGCCAGAAGATATGCCAGAAGATATGCCAGAACATCTGCCAGAAGATATGCCAGATAGAATGCCAGAAGACATGCCAGAAGATATACCAGAATATATGCCAGAAGATATGCCAGATAGAATGCCGGATCGAATGCCAGAAGATATGTCAGATAGAATGCCGGAAGATTTGCCAGTAACAATCGATAAATGTCATGGTGGGGATCACTCGAAGTAAAGCAATTATCTTTCCATATATTGGGAATAGTAACCCCAACTGACTAATATTTTTCAGAGGGGTTGAAACAAACCACCAACCAGATCATGTTTGTTTTTCCCCTCAAACCACCGGTCGTCGACGGCAGGTCGTGACGAAGACAACACGCACTGTCTATAGCTGGAGCTAAGATTCACCACACCCGGTGAGCCCAAGGGCCGAATTTTTCCTGATCTGGATGAAATATGGCCATGGATCCCAGCTGGTGTCAACGGAAGGGTATGAGTCATATACAGCATATACAGTTTATATATATATATACTGTATTTATTTATTCATATATATATATATAAATAACTCTTAATCCTTGGTTGCCGCTGAATTCGCTTGGCAAGTTGAGGGAATATCCAACCTTCAGATCAGGATTGAGTCTTTTGACTCAAAGTAATGATTCTCGTAGCGTGTAGGTGGCATGAGCATTTTTTTTGCGCCATGGTGGTCCAGCGATACCGTCGGTTTTTTGGGCTGGCGGCGGCAACTCCCTACCTGTGTTAAGTTGCAGTTGCTCAATTACGTATGACTACTAAACTTCAATATAGGATTGTGCAGCGTTCGAGGGGGCAACATGATTTTATGTTCAGCATACTTTCAAACAAATCCATATGTTATGCGATCAAAACACAATAAGATATCATTGTCATAGCTGCATGGATAGATTATCGCCACGCATTGGGACGTCACTGGAATGATCTTTTGGGGAATCATCCCAGTGTGTGGCCAAACCTTTTAGTTTGGTGCAAACCGTTCTGAGTTATAAAAATGATTTGGGGCTATTGTTTGGTGTACCCTATTCACAGAAATATATTCAAATGTCATTGTTTTTTTCTGCTCTTTAGTTGCAGAACTAAAAATGGTACCCATGCAATAAATATAAATAATTTAAATAATCGTAGCTATGCAATGAATACACATCAATAAACAATGACATGTGACATGGTCCAACAGTTGATCAATCCTTTGGTCCCACCATGTCGCGCAGTGCCAATCACTGGGCCGAGACTCAAGCCTTTGCCAAAAAGATGGCTATCTCTGGGGGTGAAACCTGGTGGATTCTGTGTCGTGTATTGGTTGAACTTAATGGGAACATCGTTTTCCAACGATACCCAATTGTTTTTCATGGGAGCCCATGGGATTTTATGATGATTAATTACATATATATATATATATATGGATTTATCTTGCGATTCTTGCGATTCTTGCGATAGGGAGAAATGAACCTAACATAACCTTAACCAGCTATTTATTGCAGCGTATCTAGGATTTGGTCATGTCTTCTTGGGAAGACCCATCAATCCTTGGATGCGGGGAGATAAGCGACCTCATTGGCCCATTGGGGATATGAACCGTGGGTGGTTGGATGTTATGATCAACCGATCAATCGTCGCTCTTTGAAATTTGGAATGTTGTTGATCCGGCAAATCTGAGTATTTGCTAGGCATGTGTTGGAACATGTTGGAACTATGCTCCGAAAACATCTCTAAACTCAACCGTCACGTTTAAAGTTTAAAGCTCCTTTGATACCGCGTTTCAGCGACCTCATTGGGATGACAAGCCACCAGGGCCACAGCCAAGCCTGTTTCAGAAACAGAGCCAGAGGCCAGACGATGCTCCATACTGGTAAATGATTGACCCTATATTATACCAGGTTTGAGGTATCCCAGGGCAATTTACAGTACTTATTAGTGACTAGTGATTACTTATGAATCTTTACATAACTTTTTTTAATACATGTTTTTATATGATTATTTATGAACTATTTATATGCATGAATCATGCATACACACATTACCATGTTTGAGAATCGCCAGGGTGCAGACGTGGATCGCTTGCTGTCAGGGCACCCAGGATTTAACTCATCAAAGATGGCACTGGGAAGCCTCCTAAAATTCGGCATTTCATTGAGAAAATCATCGGATGATTTGGGAATCAACAGGTCAGTTGGGCATAGATTTGGCACTTGGGGACATCAAGGGATTTTGTTCTTTTGGTTTGGGTCTTTCTGGGACTTTCTCCGAACCGGAAACCATAGATTTTCCATGATTTTCCCATTAAATACGGTTTTCACGATGGATTTTTCTTAGGGAAACAATGGATTTTCAACCGTATTTTTTCCCACCAATCCATTCGGAAAAGAATCGATGGATTTCGAAGGGGCCCACGTTGGAAGATGATCAGCCATTGCGAGGTCTTGCTGGTTGGGAGGTGGAACTATCCCACCAAAAAAAACAACCATTGCCTATGAATATATATATATATATACATATATATACATATATATATATACATATATATATATACATATTTATATACACGTATAATATATATCTATATATAACTATATATATATACATATCAGTAAATGTAAATATTACTATGTGATGTATAGTGATACAAGGTTACATATATATATATATAGTTATTTACATGTACAACGTGTTTAATATATATATATACATATACATAGTTAGATGGGGTTGCAAAAAAAACAACAATAACTTATACCTGTCGGGGACTACATTTACCCCGTTTTGCTAAGTAGACCGAAGTTCTACATCCCATTGCCCTCACAAGACTTTGGCAAGACATCGCTAGGTTTTCCGGAGATGAAGGCGTTCTATCTCTTCCGCTCGGCGCTGAGACGAAGAAAGGTGACCTTCCAGTGCCCCTGGAAGTCCCAAAGCGCAACTGTCAGATTTCCGGCTGGCTGATAGTCCCTTCCTCAAGCACCCCGAAACGAAACCATGGTCCAATGGTGGATGTAGGGGATAAAACATGAATACATTTTTGGGAATATTTAGGACCTAATGCATTGTGGGTGTTGAATGTTTGCAGGATTGAATTAGTTTGCATTGTCACAATTGTCATTGGTTGATATTGGTTGATGGTTGAAAGACTTTTGGATCTTTTGGTCCAAGGTTTTAGCAGGTGACTTATGTTTGTTTCGGTGCCAGTTTCTTTGTCCCAGTCCTGGAGTTGCAGCCTGATATCTTTGGGTTTCTTGCCAGCCCTTGTCGGCGCTGCGGACCATGGAATCTGGTTTACTTCAATCGCCTGATTTTGAATGCTTATGATACATTGAACTAATTAATTCATATTATATAATTCCATGCATGTCTATTGGCAAGTTCAAACCAACAGAAGTCAGAGAGCCTGCAGACGGCCCAATAAACATAATTGGAGCTCCCCACATTCCAGAAAAGGGCAAGTGAACTGCACATTTGCCACACTCTTTGGTAATGCAGCATAGCTATGGAAAACCCATGATTTTTAACAGGTGGAGGGCCATGTTCATCTATTTTCTATAGATATTATAGCTTTGTGAAATCACCAGAGGGTAACAAAAAATGATGACCTCCACCTGGGATATCTCACCCTCAAGGCCGACCCCACCGGAGCTGTCACCCAGCAACACTGCAGAGTCACCAGGCATGCGCGTCGCATGGGAAGATGGATGGGTTGTCTCTGGAAACCAACGTTGCTATGAGTGTTTGCTGTCCGATTTTATGGTAAGTCCGTACAGACCAAAAGGTGGAATTGGATGAAATTGTAGAAACATGTGGAACCCGGTTTTTCCCCTGCCAGGTCAGGGTCTCAAGATTTTATCAGAGTTGCTTCCTCCTTCTCCTTTTCCTTTTCGTTCTTCTCCGGCAGCCTCGGATCTCAACTGCTGCGGGACCTCAACCGCAACCGCAACAGATCTCAGTCGCCCAGGCGGCGCCTTGGAGACGCATGTGAAGGCGAGCGGGGTTTGGGGCTCTGGGGCGTGAGCCTGAAACCTGAAAGAATAGCTACCCTCTGGTAATTTAACATAGCTATGGAAAATCAACATTTATAGTGGATTTTCCCATTAAAAATGGTGATTTTCCATAGTTATGTTAGTTTACCAGAGGGTATAATATGCTATAATGTGGCCCCCAGTATAATAAGTTGGTTTAAACATCCCATGAACTATATTCCCCTAATCAACCCAAGTGTGTTCGCCAAGTTCGAAGTCGACTTGGCTATCGTTTGGGGGGCTCACCTTGTATCAAGCCGGTCAAGCCAAGAAGAATTGGATCATCACGACAAGCCAAGGAATACTACGTAGTATGGTAGTGGGATTTTCCCATGATGTTTAAGTCTGACTCATCATATTTATCCGTTAATAATTGGCCGTAATTAGTAGTAGTAATAATAATAGGATACTACGTGTATTAATATGGGATAATAGTGGGATAATTATAGATAATAATGGGGTAATTGTGGAATAAACTACAGTATCCCTGATTGGGGTGTATTATTGGGTATGCTGTACCTCTATTTGTGATGATTCGAGAGGACTCGAAATGGGTTGTTACTTGGATGGTTTATTATTGGCTTTACTGTACCACGTTGCCCGTCTACCAAAATCTTACCCCTACTCCTTTCCTGACCATATTCCAGACCAATCATACAGTTTCTGAAAAATGTTGAAAAGCAGTCAAAAGCTGGTAATCACACATCCCTTTGCTATGCGATGACTGCCCTGAAACATTTCCCGCACGAGAATGCGTGCTCAGATGCTGAAAGATGTTGTCTGGGCACTCCTGTGGCATGCGATGATGCATGATGATGCTCAAGTGTGCGTTCTCATTCTCCACATTCTCCAAGATCCAAGTGTAGTCTAGACCACTCTTAACTATTATTTTCTACGAAAACTCTGAGGTATGCACAAATCTGTTGGAGTCACACAGGTATGTGGAGTACGATGTTGGCATGGTACACGTGATATAATTTTGTGTTTCAGCGACCAGGGGCTAGAACCATTTGGTCATTTAACATAGCATACATAGCCATGGACAATTGGCTACAGATGATTTGCTTATGAATGGCAATTTTTCCAGTTCGCAAACTGTTCAATTACCAGGGGGTTGGGATCCACGAGATGTAGACGTGGGATTTCTCCACGGTAGCTCCCCAATTCAGCCCAGGGGTTCATTAATCCAGGGTTGACATGACATGTTCATTGAAGTTCATTAGGGCCAGATCCGGACGGCTGAACACGATATGTTTGTGATAAGATAATTCTGCATTTTTTTGTCTTGCACGATCCATGTTTCTTCAAATCGGTCTTTAATTTATTTACTTCCGGGATTGACGAAGATGAACCCCAGGTCAGCACATGTGTGGCAGATAGTATTTTGATGTATTTTGATTTATCTATATATATATATATATTATATTTATATTTGTTTATGTTATTTTGTAGTTTCAACATGTTTCAACTGTATCATTGATACATTTGCAGGACCCAGCTCCTGCTGTGACCTTTGGAGACCTCCAAAGGCGCCATGCCGGGCTAGCGGCTCCGCAAGCAGCAGGTGAAAACCGGTGAAATGTTCATTGAACAGATGGAAACCTAAGGTCAATAAAGCTCGGAAGATGAAGACTACTTTACTTCGTGTGATCCCCACCATGACATTTATACATTTTGTTACTGGCAAATCTTCTGGAATTCTATCTGACATATCTTCTGGCATTCTATCTGGCATTCTATCTGGCATATCTTCTGGCATTCTATCGGGGATATCTTCTGGCATATTATCTACTCAAATTTTCTGGCATTATCCGGCAAACATTCTGGCACTTTATCTGGCATATCTTCTGGCATTCTATCTGACATTTTATCTGGCATTCTATCTGGCATATCTTCTGGCATTCTATCTGGCATTCTATCAGGCATACCTTCTGGCATTCTATTTGGCATATCTTCTAACATTCTATCTAGCATACCTTCTGGCATTCTATCTGACATACCTTCTAACATTCTATCTGGCATATCTTCTGGCATTCTATCTGGCATATCTTCTGGCATATTATCTACTCAAATTTTCTGGCATTCTATCCGGCAAACATTCTGGCACTTTATCTGGCATATCTTCTGGCATTCTATCTGACATTTTATCTGGCATTCTATCTGGCATATCTTCTGGCATTCTATCAGGCATACCTTCTGGCATTCTATTTGGCATATCTTCTAACATTCTATCTAGCATACCTTCTGGCATTCTATCTGACATACCTTCTAACATTCTATCTGGCATATCTTCTGGCATTCTATCTGGCATATCTTCTGGCATTCTCTCTGGCCGTTGAGGTCCTGCGGTGCACACTGAGCTGGGAAGGTCCCAGGTTGAGGTCCTGCGGTGCACACTGAGCTGGGAAGGTCCCAGGTTGAGGTCCAGCCGTGCACACTGAGCTGGGCAGGTCCCAGGTTGAGGTCCAGCGGTGCCCACTAAGCTGGGAAGGTCCCAGGTTGAGGTCCAGCGGTGCCCACTGAGCTGGGAAGGTCCCAGGTTGAGGTCCAGCGGTCCACACTGAGCTCGGACGTTGGCGAAGAGCTTGGCGAAGAGTTGGCAAGGCAACAGTGGACGTGGAAGTGGAGGCAGGGGTGGTGGAGGAGATGCTGGCGGAGGAGGAGCAGGAGGAGCAGGAGGAGCAGGAGGAGGATAGCTAGCCGAGGAGGAGGAGGAGGAGGAGGAGGAGGAGAACAACTGTGATAAAATCTAACAGCCCTCACCTGGCAGGTGGGGAATATGATGAAAATGATTTGAAATCGTACACATTTTCCTGTGCCAAATTCTCATAGAGATCATAGAGTTTGCTCCCCCTGTTAGGTTCTGGACTATCATTCTTTGAGGTGCTCACCTGCTTCTCCATACTCATCTTATGGTAAAATATTATATTGTAATACCGTATGAATCCTAAACAGTAAGACCATGGTAAGACAGAAATCACTGCTGAGCCCCACGTGCTGAAACCGATCTTTATCAGCCCTGGGATGCCTGGGATGTGCCCATAGGCTGATGTCCACACTGTCGGAATTGCAACGTGCGTCCTTGGGCGCTGCGCGCCTGGATCCCGAAGTCACGGGAGGACCAGGTAGGTGCCGGGCATGGTTTTGGTATGATCCAACTTGTCCCCATGGAAACTAACATGGGAATATATGGGAATATCATAAATATAGATGTCATATAACATACTCAATGGAATACCCAAGAGAATACCAAGTTATAGGCTGTTCTTAGTTCAACCATCAGTGGTACTTTGACCAATGAACCATCTGAAGTTGGGATCCGCACTGGATCCCCCTTAGCCGCTAAGCAATCGGCATGTGAAATGATATACCCTCTGGTGAACTAACATAACTATTGAAAATTGCCATTTACAGTTGATTTACCCATGAAACATGGTGATTTTTCATAGTTATGTTAGTTTACCAGAGGGTAATGTGAGTAAAACAATAATCAACCGCCCATTTGGGAATGGTTTATATACCACCTATAAAAATGGTGATGACTGGGGGGTGGTTTATGAAATTGTTTTACCCACATTATATGTTTTTCATGGCTGGAAGCCCTGCAAATGATGCTTGAAGCCTGCAAGGTAGTGTGTTCATAGGTCATAACATGTTATTTGGTTGGTTTAGTTTATTGTGCTTAATTTAATAAGGAAAAAACAATAAAATCTTATAAAGCAATTTAGGATAAAGGTATAGTAGCCCCCAAAAGAGATAGCACAATCAATTTGTCACCAGTTTAACTTGGATATTTTCTATTTTAACTTAGACACTACTTTATAGTTGATGAGTCTAGTATTAATCTCATTAAATCACCATTACTGGCTGAATCTCACATAAATCCGCTATAAATCCCACATAAATCCCACATAAAATCCAACATAAATCCCATATAAATCCCACATAACATCAACGTAAATCCCATTTAAATCCCACATAAATCCTATGTAAATCCCATATCCATGCATATCCTATATAAATTCACCATTTAGTTCGATGATTTTGCTACGTCAAGGTCGTGCCCACGAGCTGCTCGCAGTTCCAGTGGCGCCGCCTCGCGTGCCCGAAGACGGGTGCGGGGCTGGGAAGGGGATGGTGGGGGGTCAATCCTTGGGCAAATCCATGTTTTTTTCCTTCCAAGTAACTGCGGTTTGAAGATGAGTTTCTAGTTCAAAGATGTATGAAATCATAACGTGTTTGCCTGCTATGTCGGATTCTGCGGGCATAGATATAATATGTACAATGTATAATATATATATATATATTGTATATCTATACTTATATATCTCTATATATCTATCCATAAATGGGAATTGCGGTATTTCATAGGATGTTCCATATATATGGGAATGTCTGATTACCAGAGGGTAGACACTTTTGGTTTTCCAGGTTGTGATTGACACGATCGAAGAGCATTCAACAGAAGCTAAATTAGGTGCATGTTGTGATTAGGAGCTGATTGAAGGCTCGAGGGTCATGGTAGTTTTATGATGGTTTTGGCATTCCCAAATCGAAGGACATCCTGAAAGACCCTTATTGGATGTATTCTGGCTGACGCTTTCAAAAGAACATGGTTATTTGTTTGTTATGTTTTTTTATATTTATCATATCGCATATAAATATAATTATATTATACTATACTTCATAATATCATATCATATCACTTCACATATATATATATATTTTTTTTGTGCATCACACATACATACATACATGCATACATACATACATACCTACATACCTACCTACATACCTACATACCTACATACCTACATACCTACATACCTACATACCTACATACCTACATACCTACATACCTACATTACATTACATTACGTTACATTACATTACATTACATTAAAATACAATACAATACAATACATTACATACATTACTGTACATACATTACTGTACATACATTACTGTACATACATTACATACATTACGTACATTACATACATTACATACATTACATACATTACATACATTACATACATTACATACATTACATACATTACATACATTACATACATTACATACATACATGCATGCATGCATACAGACAGACAAACAGACAGACATACATACATATATCCCAACTATTGCACTGGTTGACTTGAATTTTCGAGATGTGCAGCTCACCGAACTTTCGAATGCCGCTTTTCAGAACCTTGGCAGCCCTTCTTGGCTTTCCCGTCATCCAAGTGCCCCGAACGGGGCGCTTCCTTTTCTGGGGGGTGGCATCGCAAAGTCGGTGAAATGCCCAGCACGATCATCGCAAGCATTGGGCCTTGAAACAAGTCATACTGGAGTTGCCCTTGTTCTAATTGATTCCGTTCGATTTTTTGCGGGCGCCCATGGATTCACATGACAAACTTGGGCGACCTTGCTGACATGCTGCTCAGTACAGGTACCCTCCCCAAAGGGATGACATCATGCATTGCATCACCATGCCAGGTTCCCAAAATTCCCATGGTTCTGGGTGTTTTCAAAACGTCACCATGACGTCGCCGCATCCGTTGGACGGATGGAGCAGCGGCCTGTGCAGCCGCTTGCAGATGTCCTGGCTTTGGCCCATGCTGATCCTTGGCTCTGGCAGCCGAAAACCTCACGCTGGCACGGTGGTTTCTAAAAGTAAGTCTGCAATGTACATGTATAAATCTGTATAAATGAAGCATTAGCTCACTGTGTTTGGATCGCTAATTTCTATCCATTTCTCACTTCTCACCATTCCCATTGATTTGATTAGCCATGAAATTGCCATGTCCCACCATGTCCACATGGTTTAGCCATAAAATGATATCAATTTGCCAGGTCTCATCACTTTCCCATTGGATTTCCATAAAATGCAGAACTGGATTGGCCCCACCCATTGGTACCCAGTTCCCCACTTCACCGTGGGCTGAGGAGAAGTGGTATGAGGCATCCTTTGCAGGTTCCGCACCGTGGCTGTGGATGTGCCATACCTGTGGCCCGAAGTACCAGTTACTGTATAAGTCAGTGAAACAAAACACACATCTATGATCATCTTTGGAATTTATGGAATGATCACCCAATAAGAATAGAGGTATTAAGCCATTATTAAGTCCCGCCTATCCACAACACACTGTAAATACATGTAAATTCCAGTATTTTTGACCATTTTAAATGCAAACATCACTCCCCCATGAGGGGCCGTTCTGAAATCACAATTTATAGTGGTATATAAAGGGCTTTAACTGTGGTCCCCATTCCAATCAAAAACCCAGGGTTCTACTGACCCATACGAAGAGAATGTTGACTCGGATAGAGAATTAAGGTAAAATAGCAGATTTCAACATATATAATCTAAAGCAATGGTTAAAAAAAAAAGAACCTCGTTTTCAATTTGGAATATACCACCTGGTAATGAGGCTTGGATATGGAAATGGATGGCATTTAAGTCCCCAGCATACGGATACGGGACACCTGGACATCTCGGCGTCTTTTTCTGGGGTGGTCCTATAATGGGATTTAATTTGGACGCCATGGAGTTTTTTCCTCGGCCATAGAGAGAGGGGGAGAGAGAGAGAGAGAGAGAAATTGGAAGTTACATTACAATAAGTAAATACATATATACATATACATATACATATATAATATTATGTTATGTTATATTTTTATGTTATCATATTGTATTATATTATCTTATATTTTATTACATTATAATAATATCATGTGTTGTGTGTGTATGTTTGATTATATGTAAAATACACATTGGGGAACAAAAACTAAGATAGAAAATACCATCCTAACACACTAGTGGTCAATTGTGTTTCTATCTTTTTGGGCCCTTTCAGGATTACAGTATGCATACCTATCTATCTATCTATCTATCTATCTATCTATCTTATCTATCCATATATATATATATTTATATATATATATATACACATGTATATGTATATGTGCAATATGATCAACTATTACCATTTTAAGGGGATCTTTGAGCATCCATTTCCCCCCAAAAAGCCATGGGCAGCCAAAGAGCTGGGGAATGAGTTTAGAATGCGTGGATTCCCTCCTTCTCTTGGTTCCTTCTGTATCAGTCCGGGTAAAAAAGTGACATCCAGTCAAACCATAATTCTCACTAGAAGGGATTTTGGCCACATACATGTGTGGGATAGCGACGGCTAGTCAAAATATTCAAAAGATTGCATGTATTTATGATTGAGTTATGATGATTGATGATGATGGTGAATCATAGTTAGATGGTTGGTTGTCTGCATTATGGTTGGTGAAATCTCAATATTTTCCCATTTATTTATTTGATTGTCAGATCCCGGTTTGTGGCAGATATATCTATCGTTAGATGGATGAGCATAAACATGATAGTGGGACCCTGCGCTGATGTTCATGGACAGCTGGCATAGGCAGGAAACACCCGCCCATCCAGATATCTATGCTCATTGTTCATCATCACACACACACACACACACGCATTTTTATGTACGTATATATATATATATATATAGATATGTAGTATTGATTATATAGTGATATGCAGTTAGCTATATCAGATGTTATTCTTGAAAAAAAACGGTTGGGTACCCCGTTGAATGACCATTAAGTCTCCGCTAGAATGACAAGATGTGATATCCCCATTATAATCATATATATATAATATATGTATATATATATATATATATCCATGCATGCCCAATATAAAGCCAGATCTATGCCAGGAAGCGGACGTTTGGCCAGTGCCTCACGCCTTATCAGCCGCAGAGCTGGGAAGTGCCGTGTCAGAGATTTGGAGCAAGGCTGGGAGCTCGGATGGAGGTCAGGGTGGCTATGGTGGCTATGGGTTGTCCTTGGCTGTGGGTTTTTGCAGGTTGTGTAAGGTGGTAAATGGATACCCTCCGGTAATTTAACATAGCTATTGAAAATGACCATTTATAGTGGATTTTCCCATTGAAAATGGTGATTTTCCATAGCTATGTTAGTTTGCCAGAGGGTAGCTGGTTAATGGTGGTTAATGGATGTTTGTTCTCCCAAATATGGTAAGAATAGGTTTTGAACCATCAACATATATACATGCGGTGTGCACCCGATGCCAGAGTCACCATCCACAAGTCACCATGTTTATGGGTGGTATGTTTACCATCCCCAAATGGTAGTTGTTTATGATTGGGTTTCCAACATTACCTGGTTTTACTGTCGTACTTCAAGTTTTGTTTACCTGTTTCATTCTTTCGTTTCCAGTTTTTTTAACAAACACATAAGTTAATTTGGGTTCTGGCCTCATTGAGCTGGTGGAAACCCAAGTTTTTGGATGACGGATGAGCGAAGATCGAAGCACTTTGGCAGGCATTTCCCAAAGGATTTGGGCCCTGGGCTGCTTCAACCTCAGGTGACTGTAGACATAGATGGTACATAAGGAACGTCATCCCCAAGAGACCTAGCCACGAAAATAGGTGGGTTGTCACTTTGTCACTGTCTGTTGATTCTTTCCTTGCCTTAGATGATGCTACCATTTTTGTTCATGAGGATAGAAATTTCAGCATTGGCCCATTGCCGGATAGAAATTTCAGGCCAGGTTTTCATACTTTTCGGGACCCCACTATTTACATCTTTTTACGATATTTGCTGATTCACCTCGAAAAACACCATCCAACAAAAATCTCGCCTGGACCTAGATTTGCTAAGCCGATGTGACTTGATTTGTCAAAAATGAGAACACCATTAGTCATTAGTTTAAGGGACAATGTACAGGAGAACCCCCCACCATTTTTAACGGTAAAAACCATTAATAACCCTGGTTTCCTGTAGATTTCCCCTTAAACCATAACCAATGATTGAATTTAGGGAATCTATAGGGTTCCTTCAGCAACTCGCAGAGTTACACCATTGATTCGCCAGGAATGCGCTTACGCTGTGGCCACTGGACGCGCTCCAGGCCGGGTCGAAACCGTTGAAACGTGGACACATGGCCTGTTTTATAGATGACTTAACCATGACTTACTATGATTTACAATGATTTACCTGTTAAAATATTTGATTGTTTTTGATTTTGCAGTTTGTAAACTGGTATAAATTCCAGGAGGAGACATGTTTGAGGCTTCAAGATTCGATGGTAACGGATGATTTTCATGTTCAACATGGAATATGTTGATATATTCCGGTATATTTCGGGCAACTGTGAAAAATCATGATCCATCTTGGAATTTCGAGGTCCCTAGGTTGGGTCCCAAAAATGGTTTGACCATTGGCTATGGTGCAGCCGATTGGCTGCAGACCAGGAGTGAAGAGATTGTTGCTCCGCTCAGCCACGGTACAATGTGTCCTGTCCTGCATCGTGGCCATTAGGAGTTTTCCCAGGGTTGACCTCCACAGATTTTTGCCATGCTGCAAGACTTAATTGGTACTTGGAACAGGGATGAATAATTTGAGAGTGCTCCCAGGCAGCTGTTCCAAGCATCACATACGATATACATATATATATATATACATACAGAGCACATACACAAATACACACGCATAAGTATATCATATAGATAGACAAGATGAGATGAGACGAGATGAGATTTGATTATCTAATTGGATAGATTAGCTTAGATGAGATTAGATTAGATAGATAGATATACAATGATAGATAGATTCACACATATATGCATATTATTGCGCTATATTTTATATATTGCACACATACTCCACTCGCACCACATGGAATCTTATACAGTCAATGTCAAACCTCATATGCAGGTTTGCGGTTTCAAAGCTGTGTCCCAATTTATGATGATGATGATGATCCAAAATAGCTAGTTTCTTTTCCGAGGCCAACGCATATATATGGGGTCCCCTGGTCCCCCTAGATCGCTAAGTTGGTGTATAACTCACAATAAGTGTGGTTAAAGGATGGTATACATCAACTCATTACTTGGAGGCACCACCTTGGATCGTTTCATGACTCGCTTGCAGCGAGGCTTCTTTTTCTTGGTTTGCAGCTTGCTGTGCAACTCGTCTAGAGTCTATAGCCAGGCTTGCTCTATGCACCAGCCTATTATACAAGCTGGGCCCCCTAGCTAAGTTGGTTTATAACATGTTCTAACTCCAACAACCATGGTTTATGGATGTTTCTGGGGGAAAAAATCTATTATGGTTAATGTTTTTTTTGAGCCAACAAACATCTGGGCTCACTTTGTATAGGTGCACCAGGATGCATGTGGGTCGTGATACAGAGCCGTGTGGGACGCATCAACCATCCTACTGGGGTACCCTGTGGTGTCATCCAACATGGCAAGGATGAAAGTCCCGTTTAGAAATGGAAGGTTCTGTAGGAACATAAGGAATAAATAGGTGATTTTCCATTGATATGTTTGATTGCCTGAGGGTAATCAGATGCGATTTCACATGGGGTGATTGAGCCCGGTGTGTTTCTTGAGCCTTACTGTGGATTTGTTTTTTCAATGACCTGTTGCGGACCAAGCCCACAATTGAGGGTCCAGCATATTTTAGAAGCTACAAGATGGCTCCCAGAGGGTTGGATGGTCGACAGTTCGTCCCGGCATTTCAGGTACAATATCCTATGCCAGACACTCAGTTTTTCCTGTGAAACCACAGTCTTGCACTGTCATTTGCCAAAACAAACTACTACAAAAATGCGTCTCGAAACTCTTTACACCATTTTACACCCAAGATCAACCAGGAAACAATAACTGTTGCAGAAAAGACAGGGATGCCAGTGGGATGCCAGTGTCTACAGTCTATAGATCCCGGCTTTTTGACATGAATACATACCATCTGGTTTTGACTAACATCGCCATGGTATAGATGGCCCATAGAAATAGATGGTTTACCTATTAAAAATGGTGATTTTCCATGGCTATGTTAGTCATAACCAGATGGTATATTCCTGTTTTCTCTGTTGTGGTGGTGGTTTCTGCCGCTCGGATGATCCTGGAACCTGCCGCTGATGCTGCACCCCAGTGATTCCCTGCCGTTGATCAACTAGGTTTCGTTGAATTTCACATAATTGTTCAGTTGCAACTCAATTTCATGGAATCATCCAGCTACTAATCATTTCTACGGATTGAATATGATTGAATCATATTTACCAGTTACCAGCGATTACATCTATACTCATCTGCGCAGATGAATCAAATCACATGTGCTCATCATGTTTTCATTGAATCATTCATTCAAAAACTACAAAAATGCCAGGCAAAGAAGACCAAAATCCAGTGCTCGAACCTCATTGGAACTAACTTTCACTCGTCAAAATGGCCCATTCGTGGGGAGCAAATCCCCATTCCCAGAAAAAGAACACGGATTACAGATTTAATAACGTTATTTGCTAAGCTGCTACTCATTTTCACATTCATCAAATCCCAGAAATCACCACAGAAATCCCAGCCCAATCATCAAAAAATCGGACAAGAAGGGGCAACCTCCAGAGTTTTTCCCAGGTGCTGGCGCCCCTTTTCCTGCGGAACATCCTGCGCGAACTGGACTCCTTCAGCGCCTCGCCACGGACGCTGCTGCCCTGGGGTCTGGGCTTCGTGAGCTGCTTCGTTGGGAAGCCCAGCGCAGCCGAGCCCAACGCTTGGGGGATGGTGGTTGGGACCAAACATGGCTGGGATATCCCTCTTATGGTGGGTGCAATGGGAAGAGCATCGGAAATTTCTGGGAATTTCATTGGATTTTATGGTGATTCTTAGGGATTTAACATGATTTAACAAGATATAGCCAACAAAAACTGGGGATGTTCATGGGAATACCATCCAGTAATCAAATATAGCTGGCAGCTGGCTGGGACATCCTTTGTAAATGGAGGTTTCTAGATGGGAAACTCATCGAACTTCAATTCATAGGTGATTTGAATGATGGGAAGACTAGCGAGTGTCCCAACCCACGACCAAATCCCGAGGAAAGAGTGACAGACTTTCATGTGGGCCTCTCCTCTCCCTCCCCTTTTTTCTAAGCCAAGACACCCACCAAAAAGTTTCAGAGATTGAGATTGGTAGCAAAAAGATGCAAAAAGGCACCCGCAAAGCAGGAAACTGGGACTCAACTTGCACACAGTTTCATAATAAACAACTGTTCCAGTCTCCCAAAACTCTTGCGTCCTTGATGTTTCCTGTTGCTGACTGGTTCTCAGCAGTGGCATTTCCGGCTCAACATTTTTCTGTGGGAAAGCAGTGCAGCCATGGCAAGCAAGGAAGAGGATGTGCAGATGATGTCCCATGGCAGACTGGGAATCCAAGTTCCATGGGCAAAAGATATCTTTGGGAGAATCCAATCTTTTGGCATTCATAGTTACCTAGCTACGAACCAAATATTCTTGCTGGATATCTTAGATCAGCTGATATCAGCTGTGAATCGGTTGAAGGGATTTTTTGAGTGAAAGCGCCAGTCACTATAGTCTATATCGGGCTAAAACCTGGAGCTTAAAGCTGATTTCTTTGTTTAACCCAAACCAGTGACAGGTTGTGGTATATCAGGTGTAGGAGCTTCGGAAGTTCCGGCAGGCGGCGTAGCATTACTCCACTTCGCCAATGTCTAGACCATAATTAGGTTGCTGTAGTTTTAGGGCCATAGTGAGCAGTATCTTGCATAGCTAGGCTAATTAAACTTGCAATCAGCCTAAGACAATCTAGAACCTTATTTATCATTCAAAGTGTGCAGATTTATCACCTATAAGATCCTATAAGTGTCCAGAAATGTTAGTTAGTATCCAAACATGTGTATCATCCATAGATTCTTAAAGGGACTGCTCCATACTTTACGGTGCCCTCAAACCCGACTTACCACTTTTCCCAGGTTGGTGTGCAAGACCCACTTGGGCACCCGCAACATCGACTACCGCATGAAGCGTCCCTTGGGACGCCACGTTGACCCATCAATGGAGAAGTCCTCTATTCAGGAAAAAATGTGTAAAAACTTGAAATGAATAGGAATGAATAGAAATCAGAGATCATCAAAACGATACCTAAAAAAAACAAGGTGTTGGGTACAGGGACCAAATTTTAGTCTGATAGATGCAACCATCGTGTGGACTTGACCATGTTGGAAATCTAAATCCCCAGCCAAACCCGTTGGAGTAAAATCTCTAAATTGTTAGCTGAGAAAAATCATTTTTAAAAAGTACTTGAACACTTTGCAGCTAACAAGTACTTGGTAACTGATCAATTGATTTTAGGGACAACTTATTAGTTAGTACAGATAGTACAGCAACACTTCCCAGCAAAGTCAAAGTCTCAACAATCATGAACACAATTCGTTGTTGAAATTATCAGTAGGTCATTGTTTATTAGCTAATTATTAAGCATCCCAATAATTCACTTTTCCATTAACTTGATAATTAACTAAAAACTATTAACTAATATTATTTTGCTTTCGGCCATCCGCCTGGTTCTTCTTATTACCCTCCAGCAATTTCAGAGGGAACATAAATCAGGTTGGAAACCATATTCATGTGGTTCAGTGATGATGTATGTTTATGCTATTCATTTGTCATCATTTTCCCATGAACCTCGTTGGCATTTCCGAGCCATATCGTGTCCAATCTACAAACTCTCAACCAACCATGCCCAGATTTTGCTGAAATCTCTTTGATGAATTCCCAGCCAAGTCATGATCTCTCCAAGGAAACCCCGATCAAATCCCCCTTCTATGTCCTTCCAAGGCTACGTCTTCCGCCGCACGGTGGATGGCATCCACATCATCCACTTGGGCAAAGCCTGGGAGAAGATCCAGGTGGCAGCACGTTCCTTGGTGACCGCCGGAGACGTGTGAGTCTTCTCGGGCGATATGACTGCAATATGCTTGGAAAACGGTGTTTTTTGATGGGATTTATTTGGGATTCATGGTAGTTTAATGGGATTTCTATGGGACGTAGCCGGCAAGCATGCTGATTTTATTTCATAAGGATAATTGAGGATAGACATGCTGGGAATTTTACCATGGGCTATAGTTTAGATGGTCCACATACAGATGATTAAGCTATTAAAAATGGTGAATGTCCATAGTCTTAGTCACCAGAGGGTATAGAAAGCAGCAAAAAGAGTGTGACTTTTGCCACTGTTTGAGATTCTTTGCATAATTGTCTTTTCAAGTGTACAATTTTTGTTTGGAGGTTTTACTGTTCAGTGTTTAGGAGGCATGTGCAACAAGCCAAAATGGAGATGTAACTGTTTTTCACCAACAAAGAGTTGGAAACAAATGGGATGAATCAATGTACACAGCAAACCCTGGCTGATGGTTTCAACGACGCTGTTGTGTGAAGGATCAAAATGGGGCATAACTGTTTATCCATAACAAACATAACAAATGGGATGAATCAATGCCCTGAATTCAAGACATGTCTTTATCCATTGGGGGCCCATTGTTGTTACGACGAGTAATTGCAGCTTCAGCTACCGCAGCGAAAGAGTCTTCCTCCGTTGACAGATCCTTCCCCCTCACCAAAAAAAGGCCCTGGTTGAGAATACGCTCAAAAAATTGAGCGACATGCTTCAGAGTTGCCGAACCCGCCAATCAGGTGTTTGCAATGCTTGTGTTTCTTCAATTGATTTGTGAATTTCAATTAATGTGCGTGAAAGAATCAGCATTCACCCATGTTCAACTGTTGCCATGTCCTTGATGATCCCGAAATTGTGGCTGATGGTAATACATGGTAATACCATTCCCCCAAATATGACATTAGATCCCAAACGAAACCATGTTTTAGTGCTAAATCATGTTAAATCATGTTAAACCTCTTCATGAATTGTCTCAAACATTGGCATTTGATGATAATTTGACTATGTTAACCATTTTTGATGTATCATCCCAATGTTTAAACCATTTCAGGTACCATTGTTTGATCAGTTGACAAAGGTTATCATCCTCATTTCAGGATGGTTACCATTTGGTAATTTCACATAGCTATGGTAGCCCATTTACTGTATAGTTGATTTACCTATGAAAAAGATGGTGATTTTCCAGTTCGCTTTCTGTATGTTAAAACCAGGCCGGGTAACCCTACCTCCTTGGCTGCCTTGGCTCCGAGGCATCATCGTTGCCATCGAGAACCCCAGTGACATCATCGTGGCCTCCCAGCGTCCCTACGGCTCCCGCGCGGTGCTCAAGTTCAGTGGCCTGGCTACGGTGAGATTTTCGTGGGACTTTCATGGGGCTTCACCGGGGTTCACCATGTTGAACCCAATGGTGATGTCGTAGGATGTCGGGGATTTACTGGGAAAACTACGGAAAACTGATCATTTAAGTGGCATATATAGTCTTGGAACATCAGGGAAGTCATGAAACTTGTTCAAACTAAATGGGTTATTTTCCATAACTATATGGACTACTATGGACCACATTTTAGATCACCAGAGATTATATAAATGTGGTACACCCAATGCCATCAATATTATCCCCCAACGACTTACCAGAAATGGGTGGTATAAACCCTGATAAAGATATAAGTACCGTCCCTCAACTGGGGTTTCATCGTGCGTTGAACCCCGTTGGGTGAGGGGATATTGAACATCAATCAGATGTCCTTATGCTTCACATCGTTGAACCCTGGTATCATTGGTTTGTTTTGCCCTGTAATGCGCAGATTATATATATATATACCTCTAGCTCTTGTGCGTTTCTATACCCCGATGTTTGAAGGACACAAGACATGACGAGAGAGTAACCCCCAAATTAAGAACGAATAGCAATTTACTCTTAATTTCGCCACATAATTTTAGAATTGCACTTTGCTTGTTTGCATCTTGACATTTCAACATTTTACTAAGCAGCAATTTTGGATCTTCATAATAAAATATAATAAAGGCATTTGATCATATTTATTACATGGTCACATCTTGATGGAAATTATTCATGTTTTACAATTAAATAGATGTCAAAATTAATTACAATCCACATGTTCCAATGTTTTACCATGTTTTACCCAGATCTTAGCAGCATGAATCATCATGAATAGTGGAAACCCCCATGTTTTTCCATCAAAAGACACCTAGCACCACGGCACGGCGCCGTTTTTGACCGCTAGGCCAGTACACCAGCGCCAATCCCTTGGCGGGACGCTGGATGCCAGGCGACTCTGTTTCAACGTAAATGGGAAAATCATGGAAAATCCATAGGACCATCACCATGTGGAAATCACCATATTAAAACCGGTATACAAACCGGTCAATCCATTGAAACATGGGTTTTAATATGGTGATTTTTAGAGTAAATCAGTAAATCCACCTGAATTTCATGAGAACTATAGCTGCAAAATTCATGTCGCTATGTTGTTCATAAGCGGTTCTGAAATTAGTTGAAAGTTGGATTCACCCAATGATGGGGAGATCACCAAACGACATGGAGGTTTTAATGGGACAATCACCTAGAAATGGGAAAATGATCTATTAATATGGTAAACTCAATGCCATAAACCTACGATTTGGGGAGTGTTTATGCGAATAAAAAAACAGTTTTTTTTGGGGATGGTCGTCCTCGGAAAATTCGGCGCCGTTCTCACATTCGGGATTCACATAGGTTTTGGACCTTATACATCCCCACTACCTGGATT